GCTTTTGTTTGTATGAGTTATATTTATCAATATTTACCATATTAAAAATTAAAACTGATGCCTTTGCTGCAGCTTCTCACAATTGTTTGATGGGATTTTAATATTGTATTATTTTTCAACTAGGCTGGCAAATAATTTTGATTTCATGAACCCCCAAGGGTCCTAGGACCACTCTTTAAGAAACACTGCTGTAATCCATACCACTTTATGCTTCTCCTTCTTTAATTCTTGATGTATTTGCCTGTCCTTTAGTCTCTGCTAGACTAAACAGCTGTTAAATTCCCTCTTTTTATTTCCCTTTCATTCTGCCAAACCACCCCTTCATTTTTTAAAAAAACCCCACTGTTGCTTTATTTATCTATTTCTGGCTTCTGTATTGCTTGAATGATCTGAGTAAAGGTGCTTGCTTTGAGACTACATTGCATAAAATAAGGACTATTTCTTTATATGCATACTGTATTACAGAATCATAGGAATGGAGGAATCTATTTAGGCTACTGAGTTCAACCCTCGTCCAGTGCAGGAATCTAAAATGAAGCATCCCCAACAGTGAAGGAACATTAGGAGAGTGAACCACCTCTCTGAGTAACTGGTTCCACTGTTGAACTGCTTTTACTGTTAGGATTTTTTTTCTAACTTTCATTCAGATTTTGGGATTGTGCTTAGTCAGTGTTTCACTATATTCTGTTTTGGTCAGATCTCACCTTGAGTACTGTGCTGACTTCAAGGTATTTTGGGATTGTAACTGATTGCTAATTGAATGTGAGTCACTTTCACTTACTAATCAGTTAAAATTACCAAAACTTTCCAGTACATAATTTTACCAAACAAATTTCCTGGATATTTTTTCAAGGTCCCAGTCTAATAAAGGAGAGATCAGACCTGTAATTTGGCATCCTGCATCCATAAAGGGATATGCATGTAAAGTCTTGGTTTTGGAAATCCTGAGATTTCCACTCCACGGTGTCATTTTCAGAAGAGACTAACCTTTCAAATGAGTCATGCCAAGGCTGCTGGCTGAGAAAAGCAAATGATGAAAGCATAGTAGTTTCTTCAATCTTGTGTTTTTACATTGTTTTTAACTGTGAGCCACCCAGTCATATGCTGAGATGGGTGGCTATATAAATGAGATAGACAGATAACTTAAAAATAAAATCTTTCAGAAATCATTTAAAATGTACAGTCTTAGTAAAGATCTATCTATCTATCTATCTATCTATCTATCTATCTATCTATCTATCTATCTCTCTCTCTCTCTCTCTCTCTCTCTCTCTCTCTCAAGTTATTGTAGGACACTGCCTACTGTACATAGCCTTAGCACAGCTTTTGTATAGCCCCTTTGCTCAATAATTGGGGGGGGGCTGCTTTGCTCTTAGTTCCTCATCCCTGCAAAGAAAATATTTAAACACATTATTGCATGAAACCCTTGAAGTCATCCAGCTGACATGTTAAAGGGTTAAAGTTCTGTAGTAAAACTGGAGAACCATCCCTTTTGTTTTCAACCCTTTCTGCTAAAAAAAAAAAAGGGCAAAAAACCCAGCAACAGCCATTTTAATGCTTCCATCTTGTAGCCCACTTTATAACCAATGGGTGAACCTTTATCATACCACACCATCTTTAAGCTTAAGTCAGAATATTAAATCAAATCATGCTAGCGTGCTTTGACATCTGAATCAAATCTTGGCTGATTTGCACATCCTGTTTCTTATTATTGGTTATTAACCAAGTGACCATGGGTAATGATTGTCGAAGATCTGTTTTGTTTTGGGGTTTTTTTTGGCATTTCACTCATTCATATGGTTTATATCTACTTCTTAATTCCATTAGCCTGAAGGAGTTGAAAAGGAAGTGACCCAAAGCCTTTTTGTCTGCCCCAAAGGTAAGAGGATTGCTCTGCTCTGGCTTATGCTTGAGATGTACTGAAATGTACAGTACATTTTCATTTCTTTGCACTTAAATACATTTAAGTTAAAGTATCTCATTACAGGTGCTATGGTCTCTGAGCCAGTGTCTTTGAAACTTCCCGAAAATCTAGTCGAAGGATCAGCCAGATCTTCTTTCTCCTGTATTGGTCAGTTGGTAGTTTTTTAATATAATGATAAAAAAGTCTTTCTGTCACAATTAAAATCTATTTAATTTTACCTGTAAAAATCAAAAGGCATTCTACCTGCCCAAGCAAGAGTAAAATATAACATGTGAATTAGTTTTCTATTTTTATGTAGGATTAATTCCCACTTCCCTCACTGTAATTCCTGCTCAACTAGCTATTGCTGTTTCCATATCTAAAATTTCCACCCCACATGCAGCTCCCTTGAAATGGTTTCTACATTTATGTGACCATATAGATTATCAGCAATTTTTCCACATGGATAATGGTCATACAGAAGCAATTTTGGCATTTTTCTGGAGGAATGCACAGTGGATAAAATTATTATGAGAAAAAGCCCTTTGGCCTTTAAGCAAGTTTTAAGTCCAAGGTTTTTTTTACTAATGATCAAAGATTGCTTCTTTGATCATTAGTAAAAAAAAGATGGGACTTTGTCTATGATAGGAAGAGAGAAAGGTGTTTACATTTTTATTACTATTTTCTACAGTTCTCTAATTATAGAATCATAAAGTTGGAAGTGGCTTTAGAGCTCTTAGTTCAACATATTGCTCGTGCAGAATCCACTAGAGTATCTTTAACAGATAATCATCCAGCATCTGCATGAAGATGTACAGCAAAGGAGAACTCATCACTTCATGTGACGAACTCTTCTACTGGCTGACAGTTCATATAGCCAGAAAGTTACCCCTGACTAGCCTGAATCAATTTCCTTATCGTTTTAACCCACTAGTTCTGATCCTGCTCTCTGGGGCAATATAGTATAAGTCCACTCCTTCAGATAGGTAAGATTGCTGTCATACCTCTTCTTAGGATTTGGTTTCTAGACTTCTTACCATCTTGGTAGCCTTCCTCTGAACTTTGTCCAGTTTATCACTGGCCTTTTTGAAATGTGGTGATCAGACCTGGACACAATATTTCAAATGGGATCTAACCAGGACAGAGTAACATGAAACAGTTACTGCCAGTGATCTGGGCTCTATGCTCCTGTTAATGCATTCCCAAGATAGCATTTGCCTTTTCAGCAGCTGCATCATATAATTGGCTTATGTTTATTTTGTGGTTATCAAGAACACCCAGATTCCTTTCACATGCGTTATTGGCAAGCCAGGTTCCCCAAATCAAATGTGTGCCTTTCACTTTTTCTACCTTGATGCAGAACATTACATTTCTCTCTCCTATTCATTTCAGCCCACTGCTCAGAGTTGTCTAGATCTTTTTGAATTGATACCCTACCAGGTTTTGTGTCATCTGAAAATATAAAGGTCCTGTCAATTCTCTCATCCAAGACATCAATAAAAATGTTGAACAGCACAGAGAATAGAGCCCTGACACTCCACTCAATAATTCCCTCCTGACTGAAGTGGAACCATTGATAAGCATTCTTTGGGTACATCTAGGCCATATTTAATCATTTTATTAAGAAGAATATCATGGAAGACTCTGTCAGAGGCTTTGCTAAGATTCAGGTGCACTATGTCTACCGCATTCCTTAATCTGTTAAGCTAGTAACTCTGTCAAAAAAGGAAATAAGATTAATTTGGCAGGATTTCTTTGTGACAATTTATTCCGGCTCCTGTTAATTAAAGTATGCCTATCCAAGTGTTCACAAACATGCTATTTGATAACTTGTTTGAACTGACAGGGCTATAGTTTCCTGGATCCTCCTCCTTTCCTTTTTTAAAGATGGGGGTGACATTTGCTCTCCTTCAGTCTTATAGGACCTCACCAGTTCTCCAGGAATTCTCAAAGATTGCCAAGAGTCATTCTGTGATCACTTCAACTAGTTTCTTCAATATTCTGGGATGTAACCCATCTGGCCATGGAGTCTAGAATTCATTTAAATTAACTAAATCCTGTCTTATCCTCTCCCTCTGTATCCTAAGCTGCAGTTCTCTCCTTCCCTCAGTGGCATAACAGTGACCAAATGGGAATTCAGAAGTTCTGTCTTTTCACCACCCATTACTAATTCATTATTTTCTCCTCTCAGAGGACCTACAAGTTCTTTAGCTTTCCTTTTGTTTCTACTGAACCAATGTATTCTTCTGCAAGCCAAGCTTGATTCCTGATGACTTCAGAGAGACACCCATGTAGTTCTCTTAACAATATGGAAGTTGTTTGACATTATTTTCAGGCATCTTTTTCAACTTCTCAATGTAGCCCACAGTCCCAGTATTCCCTGGAAGTCTGCCATCCAAATACTAACTAGATCCAACTGCGCTTAACTTTGAGTTCAGGTGAGATGTTACCATCTGCTGTAGACAAAATAAAGCTGTTGCCATCTGCTGTACCCAGAACAATGAAAGGCTTGCTGAATTGCCATTCCATTGTGTTATATTCACAAAATAATATCTTTTTGATAGGAGATCTCATGGGCACAGCCATGCACAATCTGCAGCAGCTTCTCCAGATGCCCTATGGCTGTGGGGAACAGAACATGGCCCTCTTTGCACCCAACATCTACATCTTGGAGTATCTGAATGCAACGAGGCAGCTGACTGAGGAGATCAAATCCAAAGCTACAGAATACTTAGTCACTGGTAGGATGCTAACACTTGCTTGGTCTGAAACTGGGGGAGATTCTGCTTTAACTGCCAGTTGACAAATATACATGCCACCAAAACATTTTACTTTTAAAAACTTCTTTTGTTGGTTGGTTAGTTGCTTTGAGGTGATGGTTTATGGATCCTGTTTTTATTCATTTATTTATTTTACTGTAACTATTACTAAACTGCCTTTTTATTTGTAAAATGTATAAACTGCCATTCATGTAGAAAGGATGCCAAGTATAGTTTAAAATACTGACAAGTACAATAAACATTACAAAATAAGAAGCATAAAACTATTCAAACATAAGATAAGCATATGAATCTGTCAAATAAATAAATATGAAAATGCCTAGACCCCCAAATGATATGGTGTTGAAAAGAAAATGAAGCTGGCAGCAATCATACAACTGGTCTCTCACGGTACCCCCAGAGAAAGCCCTCATTTTTATGTGACAGTCTTGAAAGCTGGTTTGGAGAGGTAAGATTTTCAAAGAAAAATATGCACACATCCATTGTGTGCTTGCCAAAGGTCAGGTTCACACACTAGATGGAATACTGTATACCAGAGCCTTACAGTATTCAAATTGCCCTCACTGGAATATGTCCTCTATGCTAATAGCATTATTACAAATGAATATTTAAATAGGATGAGTAAAGCATACATTTAATAACACATTTAATGTTTTTTTAAGGGTACCAGACACAGCTTTCTTATAGGCACCCTGATGGGTCCTATAGTGCCTTTGGTAGCAGAGACAAGGAAGGCAATACCTGGTAAGACCATATAAAGTGTAGGTGCTTTTTATTGTCTGTTCCTTTTGAACAAATTGTATTCTCCAATTGCAGCAGGTCTTCATTACACATGCTAAACCCTATTTGCTTTTCTGTAGTAAGAGTTCAAGCTCATTTTATTTCCCATTCTCTGAGCATTAGAGCACAGACACTGAAGGACGTGAAATTTATGACAACATTCTTTCTTATTTTTCATCGAGTGGTTTAATAGACCCATTACAGCAACCCTCTTACTTCTCTTTGTACTGCTCAAGTCCTTACTTCAGAATTTTCATCTCTAACTGCCAGAGGATTCAGCTTTAAACTCTCCTAATAAAACTTCTCATGCTTCAAGCTAACACATTTTTACCCATCTCATGCCAGCAGTCAATTATCTTGCTAACCTGGACCAAATCTTTTCTGTCAACTTTACTAGCAGTACAGGTAGTCCCCAGTTTAAGAACGAGTTCCGTTCCCAAAGTCTGTCCTTAAATCAAATTTGTATGTAATCCGGAACAGTATTATTATATTATACTGTATAAGTAATATTGTGTAATTAACTCAAACCATTGAGTATTTAACTCGAATCATTGTACATTTAACTCGAATTTTGCCACAATAGTGTCAGCAGAACAACAGAGAAACTGTCCAACCATGTTCGATTCTTTTATTGCTTACACCATATAGACAGACTAAATCTGCTCTAAACTAACCTAATAGATATGTCCTGGGAGATTCAAGGGAGTGGCTATCTTAAGTTTCTTCTTCCCACACTCCTGCTCTGGACTGTGTTGTCTTTGTCTTGCCCTCCTTCCTGGGAACCTAGATCTCTACTGCATTCCATCACAAATAGGCTCCATTCTTAACTATGGGTCGTCTATAACCCGGGCTTTCTTAACCCAGAGACTACCTGTACTTTTCTTTCCCTATCTGGTCTTCTTCCATGGATTAGAAGGCTAGATGAGAACACTGTTTGACCTTCCATGATCTTCAGATTCCTTCTTAGATTTTCAGAGTATTTGGTGATAGGGTTATAGTTGATCTTTACAATATCATTTATAATGCAGCCTTATATAAATTAGAAAGGAATAATTATTAGTGGGCTTGATAAGTTTTGGATGTTGTTCTGTCACTTGCCTGATTCTTGTACCTGGCAAACAGCAAACTTCATAAAACAGTGAGTCAGATCAATACGGATGCATTTGCTTGAATTCCTCATAAGAATGGGAGTCACCAGTTACCATAATTATTCCTTTTGTCTTCTTTTGGGCACAGTTGCATCCTCTCTGCTTACCTCCTGACCTACTGTGTCTCTTTTTCTTCCCCTGAACATTTAGAGTCTGTTTTCAAGAATATAAACCTGTTTTCTGAATTCCTGTGGGGCACAGCATCTTTTACATCTCTGGGTTCTGGTTATTACCCCTCCTTTCCATTCCTGCTCCTTTGTTGCTTTCACTGTCAGTTTATGTCATGGCACCTCCCCCTCTTTTTTTTCTTTTTTGAACAGATAAATCTTTGCTTCTCTCATCAGCTGAAACCACTTGTTGCTCCAGTCCTTTGACCTTTTCTTCAAAGTCTGCTACAAATGTGCATTTGCTGCACATGTGTTTGTATGTGTGTGTGTGTGTGTGTGTGTGTGTGTGTACACAAGCACCTGCATGTATACTGTACATGTTGCAGCAAATTTAAATATATGCAGTATATAGCAAATATAATGTACACCAGGTTATTCTCAAGCAGGAAGACAAGCATTCCACGTGTATTTGGAGGTCCCAAGGGCAGTCTCTTGCACATTCATTCTCAGCTCTAAGTAAAAGGTTTATATTCTTGTTCCTTTCTTGGAGCCCAAGGTTAATTGAGCGCGCTTACACTGTTCACTTAGATGGAAAAGTAGTCAGACTCCTCCTTGAATTCCATTAGCACACTTCCATTTGCTCTCTGTTTTTGCTTTTTTGGAGCAGATGCAAAGCAGTGTTGTACTCTGGTTCTTTTGCCCAACTGTATAAACAAATTTTCAGCATGGGCATAAACCATTTCTATTCCACTTCTTCATAATTTGGGACCAAGTGGGGTAATAAAGTTCCTATCTTTACTACTTGCTTGGATATAGAAATATTTGTTGGAATGGAATGGAATATAACTTTATTGTCATTCCACTATACACTATACACCAAGTGCATAATAAAATGAAATTCCATTGCAATTGGCTTACAGTCATACACTAAAATACAATTGAGATACCTAAGTTACCATAAAATATGCATTCTATACATTGGATATTAAACATTCAGACATCTAATAGCCTTTCAGACAAAGCTATTTCCTAATCTGGCTGTTCTACATCAGATACAGCGGAACCTCTTCCCAGAAGGTAACAAAGAAAACAGGCCATGATGAGGATGGGAGGCGTCACTGACGATCTTTCAAGCTCTAGACAAACAGCGCTCATATGCTAGATCTTGGATGAGAGGCAGAAGGATCCCAATTATCTTCTCTGCTGCTCTTGCTACCATCTGCACAGACTACCTGTCTGAGGCACTACAACCTCCATACCAGATGGAAATACTGTTAGTGAGTACACTCTCTATGGTACCTCTATAGACGGTAAGGAGAACAGAGGATAAGAGATGTACTTTCCTCATCCAGTGTCAGGTTTAGCCCAAAGAACTCCAAGAGGCAATGCAAATCCAGTTCAAATGTGTTTATTAGCTGTAACCTCTATACAGAAAATCTCCCCAGACTGAACCCTAGCTCCCAAGCCAGCCAGCCACAACACCCTGAATTCCTCAGGGAGGTGCCAGCCTCATCCTCTTGATCTTCCCATGCTCCTCCGGTGAACTAAGAACATGCTTATCTCCCTGAGCCTGGCCTTCATAATTCCATTCCATCACATCCAGCGTTAAAAATGTAAACGTTGCTGTGCTCGTTTCACCAAAGTGCGGTATTAAGGGACCAGGTCAGACTATTCGTTAACCGCACCCCTAGGAATCTAATGCTACTGACTGACTCCACAGCTATGTTATTAATAAAAAGTGGAGTGTGATTACACTGGTTCCTCCTGAAATCTATGATAATCTCCTTAGTTTTTTCCACACATATCACCAAACTGTTTTTATTACACCATTGCACCAGACCCTTCATCTCCTCCCTATAAGCCCACTCATTGTCATCTCTGATAAGACCTACCACCGTTGTATCATCTGCATATTTCACAACGGAATTGGTGGTAAACCTAGCACAACAGTCATGGGTCATCAGGGTGAACAACAATGGGCTCAGAACACAGCTCTGTGGGGAGCCAATGCTCAGAGAAATAGAACTAGAGATACTATTTCCAACTCGCACTGACTGGGACCTCTCAGTAAGGAAGTCAAGTAGCCAGTTACACAACGGAGTACTGAAACCCAGTGAACCCAGTTTGTCCACCAAATGTTGGGGAACAATTGTATTAAATGCTGAGCTGAAATCTATAAACAGCAGATGCACGTAACTGTAATTGTAATAATTTGTTAAATATTATTCTACTTTTCCAGCTGTGGAAAGTTGCAAATGGATATTAATGTTTAATTATACTCTCTTACAGGCTTACCGCCTTTGTGTTCAAGAATTTTGCACGAAGTTCCCATCGCATTTTTATTGATCCAGATGTCCAAACTCAAAGTTTCATCTGGCTGACTGGCAAGCAGAGATCAGATGGTTGCTTCCAGAATGTTGGGAAACTCTTCAACAATGCTCTAAAGGTGCTAATTTTTAGGTTATTAATAGATAATATATCTCATAGCAGTAACACTTTTTAATTTCTTGTTAATGTCATCATTTCACACCTGTGTCCTACATCTTTGTCCATGCTAGGTATCTATACCTTCCTAAGTCCCTCTACCATTTTTTAAAAGGGAGAAAGGGATTGTTATAGCGGTAGACCTGAGCTGGGTTTAAAAGTCCCTTGCTGACTTCTGCGTCTCTTAGGGTACTTCCACACAGGGTCTTTGCATCCAATCTATCTGATGACACGGTATCATCTTCAGTGCTGGCACAACTGCAGTTATCTGATCTTTTCAGTTGAAGAGTTGCAGAGCTTGTAGGCAGTCCCTTTTCCCATTGGCTTGCCTCCCAGCTTCTTTCTCCCCTCTTGGTATTCAGCCACTTAGCATTCTTGGTCAGTCAGTATACAGAGTAAGGAAGATGATCTTGATGGAGATATGCAGGAAACATCTAGGCAAAAAGGGCTGAAGCGGGTTTTTTTTAAGTCCAGAACTACGAGATAACATTCAAAAGCAGCTCAGGCAAATGGCTCCCTAATTCACTGAAGTATAAGGAAGAGGAGATACAGCATAATCAAACCTGTTATTATGGCCATTCTCAATAAAAGTAGTTTTAGCCTTCCTGTGGAGTTGATTTCCTAGTTTGGCCTAACTGGTGGGGCTGACAGGATCAGCAGTAGTGAAGATGTTCATTGGTTAGATAAGTTACTTTTGAGGGATTGAAGAGCTGGAACAGTGGTCTGTTTTTTAGACTAACTTGCTTCATAGTGATTTCTATAAATGCTACTTTGAAATTATCACTTTACATTGGCTCTCCTGCAACCAACTGTGCTTTGAGGATAACGAGCAGGGGCCAAACAATGCATGAGCCAGCAGTGTGTTGCAACTATCAAAAGAGCCAATGCAGTTTTGGGCTGCATCAATGGAGGTATAGCATCAAGATCATGTGAAGTGATAGTACTGCTGTATGCTACACTGGTCAGACCACACCTGGAATACTGTGACAGTTCTGGTCACCACAATGCAAAAAGGATGCTGAGGAACTTGAAAGAATGCAGGGAATAACAACAAAGATGGTAAGGGGCTTGGAGGCTAAATCTTGAAGCGGTTGAAGAAACGTGATATGTTTAGTAAAGAAGAGAAGGCTAAGGGGACTAATGATAGCAGTCTTCTAATATGTGATGGGATGTCACAGGGCAAAGTGTGTGAATATATTCGCCCTGGCACTCCAGGGTAAGACAAGAACCAATGGATAGGACCTTTATAGTGAGAGATCCCAACTTGATTTAAGGAGGAATTTCCTCACTTTGAGAGCTATTAAGCAGTGGAACAGCTTTCCCTCCCAGAGTTGTGGGTATTCCATCGCTGGAGGTTTTCAAGAAAAGACTGGACAGCCATTTGTCCAGATGGTCTGAGGATTCCTGCACTGGGCAGGAGGTTGGACTAGAAGACCTCCGAGGTTCTTTCCATTCTAAGCAGGGTACATGTTTAAAAATAAACAAAAAAGCTGTTGTAGGGGTTGATTCTTGGAGACACACTGTAGCACATGAAGGTGCTTAAACTTTTTCCCTTGCCACTGTTGTCTGGATGAAAATCTTCCTAAATTTTATTTGCTTTTGTATCTTTCCTCAAAAAAACAAAAACAAAAAAACCCACTATTTTGTTTTTCCAGGGAGGAATACAGGATGAATTTTCACTGGCTGCCTATATCACCTCTGCTTTGCTTGAATCTGGACTTCCTACCTCGGTATTTATTTTCTGTTATCTCGCTGATTAGGATTTCAGTTAATTTACTTTCGGATCCTGCTAGCAAATGTCTGTATGTTTGATAGGGAATAAGCATGATGAATATACAGAAATGCATCATACTGAAAAAAATATGTATTCAAACTCTATTTTGGATTTTCCTGTACTGAATGTAGTACCTTATGCAAGACCTAAACCAGGTGTTAAATGTTTCTCCCATTCATTTCAGTTCCTCAAGGATTTATTTTCAAGTTTAGTTTCCATTGGTCTTCTATCTCAATGTCTTTCAGGTTGGGCTTCATAGAGTTGGATGATTTTACTGTTGCTGTTTTCTCTATTTCACATGAGCTCCCATTTTCCTTTAGCTAGTTAAATCATATCCAACTTAATTTAGGAAGGATTTGAGCTTGTCTGTCTTTAGATTGGGAATCTTTAGACTTTTTGTCACTTAGGTCCATGAAAGATAACATTTGGGAGGAGTCCAAGGGCCATAGGGGGCATAGCAATGATGCAAAGCAGAGGTAGTGTATCACAACTGTAAGTGAAGTCATAATTAATCTGTTGTTTCCTAGGGTTTGTGTGGAAGGGTCGTTGTGTTTGTTTTTAATCTATATGAATGGCAGTAAATTGTGCCACTTGTTTGGCTGATTTTTAAATTTGCTTGAAACTGCTTACACCTTAATTTGCCTAATATTATTGTGATGCCTACAAACTGTTTGACAACTTCTTTCCCCATCAGCATTCAGTGGTCCGAAATGCCCTGTATTGTCTGGAGGCTGGATTAGAAAAAGGAACTATTACTATTTATGACCAAGCTCTCCTGGCCTATGCCTTTGGCTTAGCTGGTAATAAACTCAAACTAGATTTGTTACTGGATAAACTGATGGAATCAGCTAAGAAGGAAGGTGAGTCACCAATGGCTCCTTTTTCTGACTTTCTTACCATGCCTGCAACCCAAGAGAACAGTTGAGCATGTGAACTATTATCCAAAAACATACAGTATGCCATTATAAATCTGCTGGTTTTTATGGTGCTAGCCATAAAACCATCTTTTATTTTTGTTGTAGCAACTAACAAGAACTCTCATACTAAAATGTGAAGAGATTAGCAAATTTGATAGATGGATCTATAGATGGAACTATCTGTAAAAAACAGAACTCAGGTCATATGAGGCTGTGCTCACTGAGCTCTTCCAGACATTCTCTACAGTGAGGTGAGATGCATCCCCAATCACATGATGCCATAATCAAGGGCTTGTAGTTTCAATATATTCCTATGCTACTGGCATTGAATCCATAGGCAGAGAAATGCTGTTTCAAGCAATGAATGTTGCTTTAGAAATGCCTACTCATCATTGTTTTGTGCTTCAAGCTTGTGCTCTCACTGGAGGGGAATCTTGCAATCTCACCTTAGCTCTTGAAATCCTATTTAGCAGCATGCTGGTGTGTTTACCTAAAGAAGCCCAAAAAGCAGAATCACCAGTGTTACAGCTCTGGTAGTTTGGAAAGCAGTGGAGGCTTGCAAAAGCACAGAAAGAAAGAGAAGTTCCCTCAGTTCTCTTTTACATTTGTGAAGAGGAGGATAGGATGTGTTTAGGTAGGAGCCTGAGAGAATGGGACAAAGCACTTAGTAACTGGGTGGCAAATACAGTAGCACTGATTGGCTGACAGTACGCTGTGCTTAGTTGTTGTCCAGAAAAGTCAAGCATTGATTGGCTGATAGTTCTGTGCAAGCTTTAAACATTTGCATGTTTATATTATGTTGAAGTCCTAGTAGATATGAAAATAGTCACAACAGCCCAGATCAAACATGGGTACATTTTATATTGGAAACAAAATTATTGGGAGAGTGAAAGACTTGTGCTCAGGACTGAAGTATAAAATACAAAATGAAGATAGAAAGCTAGGAGGAAAATACAAGGATGGGGAATTTCTCATTCTTACCCTACTTGCCACTTATCTCCTTGCAGGCCCAGATCAATAGATTATGCTTTTATCTCTGGTCTGTTGACTGCAATAAAACAAACAAACAAAGGTGGCATATGAGAGACAGAGAGAACGTGTATGTATCTGCAACAGGAGTGGAAGATCCCACAGGCCTTCTAGCCTTCCAAAAGATCTTTAAAAGCTGGCTTTCTCCTCAAGCATTGGGAGAGAACCCAGTGATTGCAATATTTTTTAATGTACTGGGAGTGTTGTTTTAGGGCACCAAGAGTTGTTTTTGGGGGTTGTTTTTTTTTAATGTGAGCCACCCAGAGTTATGGCCCATGAGTGGCTATGTAAATCTCTTAAATAAATTTTAAAAATTGGAAAGGAGAGGTAGAGAGTAGGAATTAAGGATTTGTGCATGCATATCATCATTTATCTGTTCCAGAGACATCAGTAGTATCATAAATTAACTAAATTCCTCCCAAGACAGCCTTTCTTTAGAATAAATAAAGCAATCAAGGTTCTAATACATGTAGTTCTATGTTTCTTTATTTTACTTCTTCTGAAATTATGATATATTTATTAAAAGTGCCTAAAATATGGTAGGCCATTTGGGCTTCTGCAAATTACTCTTGATTTTGTTCAAATTATACATATGAGGGCATTGTTTGATTTAAGTTGGTGATTTAAGCTTTTTTCTACATGCTTTTTTCTGAAGAACAGGGGTTTGATTGATTGAAGAATAACCACAGACTTCCACTGTGGGGTGATTTAGATCTATTCCTTCTGATCACTGGATTTTCTAAACTGCCAGGAGGATTAGCAAGCTTAGTCCCACCTGGGTGAGACACCCTCATCATTGACTTTGGTGGGATACCAAATTGGACAAGACATATTTACAGAAGTTCGTCTCTTCTGGGGAAGTCTTGGAAGAATTTTTATTGACTTGTACTTTTGGGCTGCTCCCTCTAATCCCTGGACATTGTACAGTGTAGGAGGATGGACATAGCTGGTTGGCAAACTTAGTGCCTCCTGGAAAGGATTCACAGGGTCAATTATGTCAGGATTACTGGTTTGTTAGCAATACTCTTTATTATTTAGCAGAGGCAGCAGAATCAGGCTGGCACGGTAAGATACAGTATTAACAGCAATTAGTCTGCACAGACAAAAAGGCTAGCACAGACAAACTGACGTTCATAGCTTCATACCTCCTACAGTAGATCTTTGGGTCAGTGCCTGTCACCCTTTCACTCATTATTGAGACTGCAATCATTCAAGGCAAGATTTGACCCAAGACTGGATACTGGACTGGTTAACTATGGACTGATTGCAGAGTTGAAAAACTCCCAATTGTATCAGCAGGACCAGCATTCCATTAACGCAAGAAAGAGCAAAAGTCAGGCCTGTGACTGGCTATATTCTATACAAGATGAAATCTGAGACAATGAATGAAGGCCAAAAAGCAAGGTTAACTTTGCCACCCCAAAAGAACTCCAATAGGCCAAGTTTAATGAGGAAGTAGGTCTAATTGGCCATCTGGTTATGTCACTGTTGGGGAGCCCATCATATGCTCAGTTCCTCTCTGCAATTTCCCTATGTAGCAATGAAGTTGCAACATTGTATGTTGTTTGTAACAACCCCAGTAATAGCAGGAAAGCTACAGTGTATTTCAAAAACACCTGATTCAATTCAACTTCAAAGCACGTCTCTGTTTCAATTGGTGAATTTGCATTGATTGGGTGCTTTGATCAAAGGTCCACCAAACTGAAGCACTTCTTCAAAGCTTTGCATAGCTCTGATCCATAGCACATGTTAATGTTTTAAAAAGCATAAAGCCCTAACAACTGGCAGTTCTAGCACAAGAATAATACACATTCCATGTAGCAAATGACAAATCTCAGATTCTGTAGCATTCCCCTTCTTGAGAGGGCAGGACTTTGGTTTGGGCATGGAAGCAGTGACCTGAGTTATTTCTGGGCCTTTCTTTGCAATTATCAGGGGGCTCATTACACTGGGAACGAGATGATAGGCCACCTACAGAACAGTCTCCCTCTTTCTATCCACGTGCTTCATCGGCGGAGGTTGAGATGACTAGCTATGTGCTTTTGGCATTGCTGACTATACCCAACATAACTCCAGAGCAAATGACAATATCATCACAGATCGTGCAGTGGATGTCCCAGCAGCAGAATCCCAATGGAGGCTTCTCTACCACACAGGTAAAGGAACTCTTGTGTTCTCCCTTATCTGTATTCTGCAAGAAAAATAACCAGAGTTGTAAAATAGTTAGTGCGGTTCATGAAACTCAAAAGGTTTGTATTCTAATCCTTGCTCAACCATTAAAGTCATAGGACACCTTACTTTCTCTCATTGATTTTTATAGTTGTCATGAACCATAAAATAGGGGTTGTCTTATGTAATCTGCCATGAGTTTCTTGAAGGAAGACTGAGATACAATGTAAATAAAAATAAATTATGCACATAAAAAAGCATTTTACAGTTAAATGCATCACCATATTTTCTTACGCGTGGGATGTAATCAAGACATGGATAGCTATTGCTAAGATCAGCAAACATAGGAAGAGGTGTAGTTGGTGCATTTGTTATAACTGTGCATATGAACTCTTTGCCACAGCTCACTCTTGCAAATCCAGTGACTGCTGGGGATCAGTGAATACTCCCAAACTGTGAACATGCTCTTTCTAGGGAAGTAACACTCCATCCAGAGGAAGCTTCACCTCAGTTTCCTAGTGCAGCCTTTTCCTTACCAAGAACAACCCCATATTGTCTGGTCTTAATTTCTTTTTCATCCAACCCATCAATGAGGTTAAATGACATTTATTTTTTGCCTGCTTGCTTGTTCATTACATTTCTATCCCACCTTTCATACAGGAGCTGAGAGCAATTATTTTTTTCTTATTTTTCCCCACTGCAACAATATTGTGAGGTATATTGAGCTAAGAGAGAATGATTGGCTCAAAGTCACCCTGAGAGTTTCTGTAACTAAGGATGGATCAACATTCAAGGGCACTGATCTGACTGCTTCCTTGAAACTGAGTGGTAAAGAGTAGTAAGGGTTGGGTATCATCAGCATACTGATGGCACTCAACTCCAAAACTTTGAATGATGTTCCCCGATAGTTTCAGATAGATGTGGAATAGCATAGAGGACAGGACAGAACCCTGAGAAACCACCACAAGTCAATGAGTTTGGAATTGAGCCTTGCACCACTTTCCAGATGCATCCTGACTAAGGAGGCCTGGTCCCATAGCAGAACAGGACCCAGTTCCACCAGGTGATCTAAAGTGATGTCATGGTTGATGGTATTGAAATCTACCAAGGTTGCATATTCAGCATAGGTTGTCAACTAAGGCAACTAAAAGAGTCTCAGCACCATATTCTAGATGAAACCCTAATTGACATAAGTCCAAAATGCATCTGGAGTTGGAAAAAAACATTGTTCTGACTGGTCTATTCCTAATTTATGGTCATTTTCTTATCTGCTTACTTTGCCTGGGCTATTGTATGGAAGAGTCGCAGGGAAAGAAGAGAGATAAGTAGATCCATGCATAAATGAAACAACCTCAATCCGAAAGGTTGGTCATCTGGAAGTACCCTATGTAAGCTGCCAGTAGTGGTCAGATGTATGGGTCTTAATAGGTTTTTGGTAAATCAACAAACTTCAAATGTTTTCTTCTTTTTCAGGACACGGTTGTAGCTATACAAGCTTTGGCTCAGTTTAGCCAACTTACCTTCTCTGAGGATGGTCAGAATTCTGTCAAGATCCATTCTAATAAACCTTTTGAGAAAGTCTTTGAGGTAGCCAGTATCAACCGACTATTGCTGCAGCAGACTTCCTTGCCTGATGTTCCAGGAGAGTATTTAGTTGACGTGAATGGGAGTGGATGTGTCTTTATACAGGTAACTATTCACATAGTCTACAAGGAAGAGCAGAATGAGGTTGCAAAAATTGCAGTTTGTTTGTTTATTTATCACATGTATATAGCCACCCATCTCACATAGTGACTCCGGGTGGTGTACAAAATAAAACAATCCAAATAGATAAAAACAATTCTCCAGATACCGAAGGCCCCAAAACCCAAAGCCACTCAGTCTTGCCCAGAGTTCATCTGAAGCCTGTTGTTCCCCATCCAAACCCCCACAGCTTCCAGGTGCTAAGAAGGGTTATCAACAACATCACTTAGCTCACCAGAGGTGAAGATGTATAGCTGGGTATCATCAGCATACTGATAATACCTTACCCCATGGTGACAGATGATCTCACCCAGCAGCTTCATGTAGATGTTAAATAGGAGCGGAGAAAGAACCGAGCCCTGCGGCACCTCGCATAGTAGGGGCCAAGAGTCGTACCTCTTACTCCCAGTCGACACTGACTGGAACCAGCCTTGGAGGAAGGAAGTGTCATCCTTCCCAACCCTCGAAGCCAGTCCAGAAGGATACCATGGTTAATATCAGGACCTGAATTCTGACTGGAAGGGGTCCTGATAATCTTTTTCATCCAGGATCCTCTGAAGCTGTTGCACAAGTGAAACAAATTGCTTTAAAATTCTTTCAGAGGAAGAGAACGTCAGATAAATTTTCATAAGCAGAATAGTGCACATTTTCTAACCAATTGGGCCACATGTTTGTGTCTTTTTATTGTATAATAATCATACAGATAGTCTTTACTTAGCTACCACAATTGGGGCTGGCAACTCCGTCACTAAGTGCCACAATTGCTAAGCGGAAAATTGTGACTGTAATGGGCTTACAACCTCATTTCCCATTCAATCATTAAGCAAATCACTGCAGTCGTTAAGCAAGCTATCACATGACTTTACTTCCGCGTTCTCCATTAACTCTGTTGGAAACTGGTTGTGAAGCACTCAAGGAGTGATCACATGACTGCGGGATGCTGCAACAATTGTAAATGCGTGCTAGTGGCAAAGCGCCCAAATGGTAATCATGTGACCACGGGATGCCACAATAGTCTTAAATTCAAGGACAGGTCACACAGCTGTTTTGGTTTTTTTTACCCCATTGTAACTTTGAATGTTTGCTAAACAAGGCAGTCAGTAAGCAAGGATTACCTGTATTGTTTTCCAGATTCCCACATTTCAATAAATCCCAATGAAAGACATCATGATGGAGTTCTCCTTTGGATTTTTTCCAGTAAACAGACTGTCATAATGTATTCAATCAATTAGTACCTTTCCAGTAGCAATATTAATACCACTGCTAGAGGGAGTCCTGCTCTTGAGAAATAACTGGAGAATTTCTTCTTCCTTTGGAGAATTTGTAGAAGTCATCCCCTCAGTTTGGAGAGGCCATTTGTGCCCAGTTCTACTAAAAAGCATTGCAATACAGGTTGGGGCAATGGTCTATTAAAATAGAGAGAAAAGGTTAAACAACTGTCCCTCTTCGTTCCAATTTTCTACTCAATATTGTCACCTCTCAAAGTAGCTTTGAGAGGTGACAATATTGTATTAGAGCTTTGGGAGGTGACAGTATTATTGTATCTATTAGCCTTCATGCTAACAAAAATGTGGGCCATAATGCCTTCCATGATGGTATCTATTTGAAAATGAAGCTGTGCTGGAAGTTCTTAGAGATGTTCCTTTTCTCAAATGGAAAAATTGACAACTATAGATCAGTATCTAAGCCCAGTCTGGTTTTTTCTCAAGTTGTAGTTTCAAAATGTGCATGTTTTTGAAGATCATTGATGTGTGTGTTTTGACAAATCAGTGATGGCTGGGAGTCTATAGCAGGAGGAAAACAGCCAAACTGAAAGTGATATGAAGAAGAAATATATTCAGAGACAATACTGAATCTGTGTGCCTGTTGTAGCCATGGATATCCTGCTCATATGCAAATCTTAACTTGTTAAAGCAGCTCTAGACTTGGGCAATATGAATTTTGGGAATGGTTCAAGTGGTTTTTCAACCCCGTGTTCTTTTTCCATCTTTTCCAGACAACTTTGAGGTACAACATAAACCTTGCACAAAAATCTTCTGGTTTTTTTCTTTCTGTGCACACAGCAAATGCTTCTTGTGCAGGCAGCTTCCAAACCACATTTGCCATAAACATCTCAGCCAGGTACCTTTGATGTATCAAATTCATATGCATAAATGAACGAGGTAGCTAATATGATGTGAAGCAAGACAGATCATCTATCAATCATCTAAAACCCTGCCTGTCCTCCAACCTTCTTTTCCTGCCTCTCAAGAATGAAAACGTTGTTGCAGCATGGGAAAGGGCTGCTTTATAGTACATGTCTCTGTTGCATCTTAAGACACTTCCACGCAGAGGTTGCTCACGAGCTCAGAGGCTTGTGTCGGAATGACAAAAGTAGGGTTGTGCCGTCTCAAGGCAAGATCTGCCTCTGGTATATATATATGTGACGTCATGGTTCACATGCATTTCCACAGGACAACCCTGCTTTTGTCGTTTGCCCCTCCTTGATTAACCCTGGGGATGTCTCTGCTTCCACATGATGCTATCAGCAACTCTCAAACACTTTCCCAAACCTTGGAGCCATACTCAGAACAGAACAGTCATTGCAAATATAAATAAAGACAACCTGTGTGCCCTCCAGCTGGTCAATAAGGGCGCACAAAAATCAGTTTCCAATCAGTGTGCATTCCCCTTATTATTGTATAGCAAAGAGGGGAAAAAACTGGTCAGCTGAAAAAACATGGAATTCAGTCCAAAATTTCCATCGTGCTCTGAAAGCATTGCAGCCAAGAGAGAGCCAGAGAGCTAGGCACTGGCAAAAAAGCTGCCTACCCCCAAGCCCCACAGGGCTCCCATGTCTCAGATCACAAAACTTCTATTTTGTGCAGATTTTGTCCAGCGAAGCTGGAAGAACATCATCTCAACTGCCCAGGAAGGACAAGTTAATGTGAATGCTGTGATGCCAATCTGAGAATGGTTCAAAGTTTATGTAGAAGAGTCCTTATCCCCAAGGAGTGCATGACCGATCAGTCTTGCATGTTACTTCCCCTCAACCCTGTGGCACTACAGCAGCTTTATACTTAGCAATTTTGAAATATTGTTCTTTCCTCCCTATCTGCACTGCAGAAGATTTAGGAAAAATACTAGTGCCTGAATCTTCTGTGTGGATCTCTGAGTTGTTGAGACAAATTGTGACAGCAAAAGATGAAGTCTGAGGACTTAGTAAAAAAAACCTGAAAATAAACAAATACCTTGTTCTAAAGGGTTTCCGTCTAAGATTTCTAAAGAACTGAAATTCTAGAACTTCTAACAAAAATATGTAACTTGTCCCTAAAATTGGCTATTCGTCCAAAATGAAATGGAAATAGAATGCTAATTTTTAAACTAAACCATTTGGTATCTGAGGGCCATACTTATCGTTTGGGAAATAATAGAAATAGGAGGGGGTGGTAGTGGATTTTTGTTCTTGTTTTTCTGAGCTTTAGGGAGGCCTTAAGGGGCTCCTCAGCTTGGAATGAAGGAGGCGATACAACTATTTAAAATCATGCATGGCAATTGGTAAGGTGGAGACTGTTTCCCTCTTTTTCACAAGGTCATCCAATGAAAGTAAATAATTTTTTTACACCACACATAATGGAATTCTAATCTATAAAATGGGATTGGATGGACCCCTTTTATCAAATTATCAAATGGCTATCTACTGCCTCCTAATCATATACTAGGAAGCAACAGCAGAAGGATTCTTCTGTAGCTTGGCCTCCAGTCCAGGAGGGTGAACTGCCCCAATGCATCCGGCTGGCCACTGTCTGACACAGAATAGAAGGATCTATATATATAGCCTGATCTTCCTCTGTGCTTTTAGAGCTATGTTAATCCTATTTTGGAACTTACTTCAAAATTGCAGAAAACTATATTTCTTTTCAAAAGTCACAGTTAGGAGCTCTGGGGGGAGCTGCAAAAATGAGGCCACAGGTTGCCACTCCTATAAGCAGTTCAGAATAATAATTTTTGATGTATCCAAAGATGATTTTAGTTAAGGAATTCATTTCAGTCTGGGCTTTCTTTCAGATATACTGGGAAGCGTAATCATTCCAACATGGCCATCATCGATGCAAAGATGCTCACAGGATTTCTACCTGATCAGTCATCCTTGCAAAAAGTAAACGTTCATAGCAGCCATTGGATTATTTCATTCTTTAATGCTGCCTTGGAAGTATTTGGAACTTTATCTAAGCTCTTATTAAAGAAAGCAGAAAGAAAATATGAAGCCAGAAAATATCCTTAATGCAATATAATCTGTTAATTTAGTGCTACACTATCTCATAAGAAAAGTGTGGTGTACCTACTCATGACTATTGCGAATCGTATATTTTTATTCTTTATTTGTTACAGACTCATGCTCTTCCTAATGTAATGAAAGTGGAAATTAAAAAAAACCATGTGCTTTTTTATCTGGATGAAGTAAGTATTATTCAGATTTGTTTGTTGTTTGGCAGAATATTAATGGACTACAAGGATGACCATTCCCCTTTTGCTTCATTCCTAGCTTTCAAACAAGGAAATAAGTTTCAGTTTCATTATTGTACAAGATCTTAATGTTGCCAATCTCAGACCAGCATCAGTACGGATTTATGACTACTATGAAACAGGTAGGATTGGAAAAATGTTCCTTCATTCATGTTCATCTGGAGCCCTTTTCTTCTTGAATATTAACAGAAAATTCTAGAACATGCAGTGCTGGCCACTAGCTTTACAAAACTGTTAGACAGGTGTATGGAGGATTGACTTCCAACAACTGTTAGACATGAATCATATTAACATGGAAAGGCCATGTTCAAGAACAGTATTCCTTTGAATACTAAATGCTGGGATCAGCAACTGAAAATGGCTGTCATGCCTACCTACAAAGGGTATTTCCGGACACTTCTAAAAAGAGGGGTGCCGGACAATGAGGCATTATGGTCTTATTTAGTGGGGTGCTCTTTCTCCCTTTTGTTGTCTTTTTCCTCAAGGTTATAACCCTGTTCTTAAGTTTATTGAACCATAGAAATCCATGGGATATGTGTTTCACTTCAACTTAGTTTAGGTTGCATCTGCACTGGCTCTTTTGATTTGGAATGCCATCCCTTTTTAATTGTTTTATGGAGAATTTAAACTCATTGCCTATCTGAGTTCTAGATCTGTGTTGTCACCCACAGTCTTACCAGAACTGACGAAAATTGCTATGGGGTGCAAGTATATTAACTGCAGGTGGAGTAATATTTGCTGAGGACTGATAAGGCATAAGGTATTTTGCCTCCTTTTACTTTCCAGGCCTATTTGTAATTCTGTCTGTCCAACAGTTTCCCATACAACAAGGCAGCCCTGAGGAATAGCTTCTTAATGTTATAGAAGTGATGGTTTGCCACTGCCTTCTTTTGGAACATTTTTTGCCTTTCCAGTCTATCCAAAGTACCCCTTTCATCCAAATAATAACCAGGGCCAACCTTGCTTAACCTCCAAGATCAGCCAAAGCTGACTAGTTGCTGCCAGAATAGTACTTTAGTTGCTCTTTAATTACATAATTTCTGTTCTCTGTAAAACAAGATTGTTAAGTTTTGATTTTACATAATATTTTATTTTTAAAAAGTACCATGGAATATAAGAGTTGGAAGGATCTTGGAGATAATCTAATCTAATTGGACCCCCTGCTCAGTGCAAATATCTACTACTACTGCATCTCTGACAGATAGCTATCCAGCTTCTCTTTAGCCACCTTCAGCAAAGTTGGAGATGCCTTTATTGTCTTGAAGACAGCTCTCATGTCTCCCTGCAGTCTTCTCTTCTCCTAGGTTTCTCCCTTCACATTTCTTATCATCTGGATTGTTCTCCTCTGGACATGCTTTAGCTTGTCAATGGCTCTCCAAAATGAGATACCCAAAATTGGATGCCACATTCTATGTTCAATCCAACCCGCTCAGGATAGAGAGGAAAAAGGATTTCTGTTGATCTCTCTGTATGTGTTAATATAACCAGGGAATACATTTGCTTCTTCTTCTTCTTCTTTTTTGCAACTGCATAACACTGTTTGGCTCAGGTTTAAGTTGTGATCAATTAAGATATCCATATCCTTGACAAGAAACTGTCAGCAAACTCATATAGTGGGAAAAAACCTAGAGTTAAATTAAAAATTTTACAAGATTCCAAAGAGTCTTGCCCTTCCAAATTTTAAGTTGTAACATAAAGCAAGTTGCCTTCCATGGATAATAGAGTGGGTAAAATTCCCGAATGTAAAATGGCAGTACTGGAAGGAGCCAGCTTAGCCAATAAACTACATAAATATTTATGCTACAGAAACGCAAAGGAGGATAAAAATTTAAAAGGACATAAAGGTAGTCCTTGACTTACGACCACAATAGGGACCAGAAAATTTGTCATTAAGTGATGTGGTCATTAAGTGAGGCATCACGTGATCACACCCGATTTCACAATTTTTGCTGCAGTTCTTGAGCAAATCATCATGGTTGTTAAGCGAGACATCACGTGGCCGCAACTTGCGACCTTCCCTGCCAGCTTCCCCATTGACTTTGCTTGTCAGAAGCCAGCTGGGCAGGTCGCAAATGGCAATCATGTGACTGCAGGAAGCTGCAACCATTGTAATTATGTAATGGTTCCAAGCATCCGAATCACAATCACATGACTGTGGGGATGCTGCAACGGTCATAAGTGCAAAGACCAGTTGTAAGTCACTTTTTTCGGTGCTTTCATCATTTTGAACAGTCACTAAGTGAATGGTTGTAAGTCAAGGACTACCTGTATTATTAGATGAAGATTGATAAAAGTATGGAATTCTACAAAGGGAATAATAAGCCCAAGAATTTCACCTCTAGCTTCTCCTTTAAATCCTTTCCATGTTGGAGATAATTACAGTAAGAAAAATGTAATTACATATAGTATGCAGGCACAGTTCATTCAAACTCTACAAACAGATTAAAGATACAAGAATTACTCAGTGAAGGCTGCAATATACCATGGTTGATATATTTACAAATTGCTGGAAGAATAAAATCAGATCTTAAGAACGAAGGAGTATATTAAGAAAAAGGACAAAATTTGAAACGCTCATACCAAACCAACATATTTTGCTGGGTGCACATATAAACTCTTATGACTCAGATATGACACAGAGACAGAATAAACAAACTGTATAATAAAATAGATGCAAATTTTCAAAGAAATAGTCACAACACAACAATTGGATGAATTATGAACTAAATCTATAAAATTTACACCAAGCTATAACTTAAAAGAAAATTGGTACAAAATGTTCTACAGATGGTATAACTCCATCAATAATATACAAGATAGGCAAATCATACAGTTAATGCCATGAAACAGAAGGAACTTTTTACTACATGTAGTGGCCATGTAGAAAAACTGAAAAGTACTTGAAAGATATACATAGTACAGTGCAGAAAATTTTGGAATTTAAATTTGAATTGAAACCACAATTTTTCTTACTAGGTATAATCCCAGAAAAAAAACAAGAAACAGTACAATTTAAAGAGATACATGTTCACAGCAGCAAGAATAAATTTTGCCCAATACTGGTAGAAATATACAATTCTGACAATATCTGATTGGGAACTTAAACTTGGAGAATATGGCAAAATTTACAGTATATATTCACAACAAAAGTTTAACCAAATTTAACCAAAATGGTTCCCGTACATACAATACATCATGCAGCATGGCAAATGTAAATATTTATAGTCTGGCTTCTAAGGGGGCCCAAATTTTTATAAATTTGTAAATTAGTAGAAGCACAAGGGGAAAATTACAAACCAAAAAACATTTTTCTTTTTCTTTTTTTCCTTTTTCTCTTACTTTATTCTTTTGCAATGAATTGTCAAATTTGCTTTGTTCATCTTTTTTTTTCTTTTTTCAACATGCACAAACAACATTAAGTAGCAATACAGTGGAGACCTTAATATTAAGTAATCAGCTTAAGACAAAACCCTTTATTGTACAACACTTTGATGCAATCTGCATATATTTAATTCTGAATGAAAAAGCTGAATAATCTTATGTTCATTAACACTGACGTTTTAAGTCATAATTAATACTGATTTTCAATGGTCTAAGTTATTTAAACATTAGAGTGTTAATCTTTAATCAATACTATACAAATATCAGTGTTTCAAAACCATATAATGTATTATATAAATTTCACAATTATATGTATGTATGTATGCATGTATGTATGTGTATATGATATCCATGTAGCCTTGTTTTGCATATACTACTTCTTTTAATAAAGATCCCAAGATAACTCTTGCTGTTGTAAAGTTTGTATTTGTAACCTGTAGAATTTGTGCATTGTTGACAGCAAAGTAGATGATTACAGGTGTTTTTATTATAGATGCTGCATTGTAGTTTGTATTAGATACAGTATTTTCTTCTATGAAGTCTGAATCTATAATCCATAATAAAGTTTGTATGTACTAACACTCAGTATGGTCCTCACAATCCCATACTCATGTCTTTGATTTTCTTTCCTACCCAAGTGTAGGCCTTTACATTTGTCACTGCTAAAATTTAATTTATTTCAAATTGCTAAATTAATGTTGAGAAGGTTCAGATTTATGCAAGATAAAATTATTTTGCCCTAAGCTTTATGGGGTGGATGGCAAATAATATTCATACTACTTTCTGTCCTCCAGATGAGACCAGTTTTGCTGAATATGAAGCACCTTGCACTGCAGGAGTTCCTTGAGGCCTGTGGAATTCATGAAGGGTAAGCGGAACAACAGAAAAACTGGTTTGGGAAACAGAAATGAGGTGCCTGATGTAGGGAGTAAAGGGAGTGGAGAAAAAACACTTCGGGATCAAGCAAGAAGCTGCTAAGCATTTCAGTTGATAAAAATGAGCTATGGAAAGAGTATAATTTCTTTAAAGATACTTGCCTTCACCTTAAAGGAAATGCAAAACATTAAGATGATAGCTGGAGATCTGGAGAAGCTTTCCCACTCCACCCATCTCATTCATTCACAAATGCTCACTCCCCAGGTCAGTTTACGAATGTTTAGGGTTAGGGAGGATGGGGAAAACAGTTCAAATAGTATTTTTAAAATGAACCACTGACTGGGAAGTCTCTGCTGTTACCTTTTATACAATTCTTTCTTACAAAACTAAGTCCCTTAGTTATGAAAAGTAATTCCTGTTCCCTAGCAAATGTATCCCAAAACATCTACAGTATTCAGAATTTCTAACATCTAGAGCAGGAGAGAGAAACTCCCCTCGGCTGGGATGGGTGGAAATGATAATTCAGGACCACAGGTCCTGTGTGTTAGGGAATGGTCCTGGTATCTGAATTTTGAAGGTTGTCAGATCCCCTCTAATAAAAGTGAGGGGCTAGGTGGGCATGTACACATACATACAGTGAAGGCACAGCATTTTTAGTCACTAAAAGTTGGAAAATTTTACGTATACACACCTCAATATGAGACTTGAAAAATCTCTTAAGCCAGCTCCATTTGAAATCCCATTCCAGTTATGCCTGTCTTCTTCCAGCATATGGGAATAAGCCTTAGGTGAACTTGGACATAGTATTTTGTACTCAGCCTGAGGTCTCATAGTACAAAGCACACATTATGTCAATTATGCAGTGGCTACATAGCTGGGGCAGGGAGTGCCACCTTTGTGGGAGATGGCAAAGAAGTTAGGAAGGACCAGGAAGGGCCAAGTGATTAGTGTTGGTGCTGCCAAGCACAGTTGCTCCTGGGCAGTCTCAGAAGAGGCAGAGAAGCCTCTTTGGGGATGTAACTACTGTTACATGTACTACTGTTACATGCTGTTGAAGATAGACACTAAAAGGAGGAGATGGCTTCAGTTCCTTTTTACCAGTGACAAGGTATATTTCTTAACTACCCCTCTGAGACAGTGGGAAAGCACAGAATCAAGGGGAAAAAATTTAAGAGACAAAGCCAAGCCCCGCTTCTGCCTAGACAGTTGAATAGAAATCCCAATAGAAAACTGACAGATATTTGAAATAGGAAAGCTTCATGTTTGCAGCACATAAGCTCTTCAGAATTGAAATGTTGTAGATTTTATATTCTGGTGTTTGTGTTTTAAGATCAATGTTTGAAAGATCTACAAGTAGTTTTTGGAACTGAGTCATTATTCATTTCTACTAACTAAATCACTTTATTATAATAATGTGGGGGAGTCTCCCTGTTTCTACAGGACAAAGCTGCATCCTGGCAAGGTATTCCACAACCAGTCTCAGCAGCACATGAAGGGGTATGGTGAACAGAGATACAACTTTACAGCTGGAGATGTTGCTGTAAGAGATGATTGTAGCAGTTCTGTACAATAAAATCATGTGACTATTAAAAGTTATTGTCTTGTCTGTTCATTGCAGTCTCTGATACTGAGTATCAATAATATACATCAATAAATGTAAGAATACCGCTGTGGCTAACAAAAAGAATTGTGACTTGACTGAACTAACTGATAGACCCATCTCAAAGATGGCTTTTTCGTTTTGCCTCTATTTCAGGAATAGCTGCCATTTTTTATCCCCAAATGTTTGCTTTTTAAAATCGTGGGCAATTTAAAATTGTTGCTGCCATTAAAAAGGGGGACAGGAATGTGCTTACAAGGTGGCATTGATCTGGGGAACAAATACAAGAGAGGTGGATGGCAGTTTCTTATTTCCTTTTTATTTTAAGCAAACACCTTCTCTCCTCCTTCCTGGGTGTTCTGTGAACATGTGGCAAGGATTTAAAGCATTACTGAGGCCCCCACTTTCAGGTCCAAAATGGAGATGCAGAATATTTCCAAATTTGGCCATATTCCAGCAGTACTGGTAAAATTCTCCATACAAACAGCAGTGACAAACCTCATTCCCATGTTACTGATTTGATACATATTGTGGAGACCTTTGTCTGGAAACCAGTTGGAAATCTAGGTTCATTTGAAGTAGTTCTCTGTGTGTCCTAATCCTGGACTGTAAATCCCACCTTCATATCATAGAGTGAAGACAATCCTTCTTGTGTGAGAAAACTTGGGGCAAAAGAGCAATGGAATAATTCTAGCTTTTCTCCATTACTTACTTTATTCCACTACCTACATTAAGTAGTGAATATAGTCCTTCCATTTTATTTTTCAGGGCCATGACATAGCCAGATAATTCCTTTTAGTTGTATTAATAGCAACTCACTCCCAGGCTGAGTCAAGTTAAACCATGATTTGTGGAATATTTGGTTCTGACTTAACATGTGAGAATCCATCATGATTTAACGTCTGAACACCAGCCCCATGATTGCTTCATACCATTTGGTAGCATATTATCTCTTAATCTGGAAAGTTCATCATGATTAGGAGCCATTAATTGATTTCAACCAATGAAACCCATTATTCCATGCAGTTTATCATTCCTATTTCAGGTGATAACAAATTCCGCAAATTAAATATATGTATGATGGTTTTATGATTGCCTCCTGAATCCATTCCTAATCCCCTTTTTGATGACCCTAAACTCTAAATGTTTGAGGAATCTTCTCAGAACTCTCCAGTCTAGTGTACAACTGTTCAGTTTGCTGCACACCTATTATCTCTAAAACATTCATGAACATGTCAAACAGCACCAAATCCAATACAAATGTAGGGGGAATCACACTTCATAATTCATAAATCATACTTTACTTTGCAAACATCCCATTTTTTTCTTCTCATTGTTTCCTTTTGTTTAATCAGTTCCACAGGAAATCTTTTACAAATAACTACTCAATTTACTTTGGAGTCATAGATGAGCAGCAGCGTTGAAAGCATTTTGGAAATTCAAGTATACTACGCCCACTATGAGGCTAGTCTTCCATTTGCAGAAGCCATGCTGATCCTTCCTAGTAAAAACCATTTTTCTACAGGATTACCCATTTTTTCAGAGAATACGTCAGGGTCTTCTGTGGGGCATCCATAACAGGTATTTGAAAAGTACTGTTATATCCCACCTCCCTTTCCCAGTTGAAGGAATACCCATTCGCTCAATCTCTTTCTCATAGAACCTAATTTCCTTTTCATCCTTCTTCGAAAGTGTTCTATTTTGCTTGAGTCTTTTGTAAACTCTATTGCCTGTAACAGGAGTCAATACCCAAACAATAGTCAGTAAGCCAAAGCAGAATGCAGTGAAACTATTACATGCATACATATTTTATTACACCAATGGCCAGAAACAAAAAATACTGTTTACTGAAGCTGTTTACTTCCATCTGGAACTCAGTATCAATTAAACTTTGCAAAAGTGCATGTTTGACATGGTCATACCCCAAGGATTGTATGAATGCGGCTGATAATCCATATGTCATTAGTTTTTCTATGACATTATTCCGACTTGATGGAAAATCACCAGCCATTATTAATAGAGTAAACCTGAGAGGAAAAACTGGAGTTTTATCTAGAAGTTTAACATCAGCCTCCATAACCTAACCTTAATTTTAGGCATCCCTAAGTGAAATTACCTCCTATGATTTGGAAACTACACATCTATTGAGTGGTGAAAAAGTCATCTCTTAAATAGCCACTAATTACCCCCAGTATGGGTTACTGATTAATCCCTGTTGGGTAAAAAAAGATTGAAGGAAGGGTGGAGTCCATAACAAAATTTATCTCTAAATCAAAAATCAAATAGTTGGCTGATGTGAGAGTCTTAGGAACAAGAAGAGACAAAAGGATTTCTACTGGTAGTGCTCTATGGAGAAAAAGTGAAGATGGACAAGATCATGTAATTATGACCTACAGTGTTTGTAGCACATTTATCTTTCTGCTGGAAAATAATTTGAAATATATCTGCAGCAGATTCAAACATACAGTATGCCAGTCCTTGAAGAAAAAGTCAAAGGATTGGAGATGGCCCAGCCACACTTCAGTTAATCAGAAAGGAAGAGCAATTATGAGTTCTAAGAAATGAACGGTAGAAAACAGACAGTAGACGCATCCCTCTATAAGTCAGCCACACAAATAGAGAAACAAGTGCATGAGAAGCAAGCACATGAGAGTAGCAAACAGAAGCAAGACAGAAGATATTCTGTACAGATGGAACTCAGAAAGTTTTCAAGCACATGCCTGAAATGGGCTCCGAGTGGTCAGGGGAAGAGACGCTGCGGAATGGGAGGCAAAATGGTGTATCTCTAAAGAGAAAAGATTATGTTCTGTGGCAAGATAAAGAGTCATAGTATAGTTTCGTGGTCACCAGTCTCTCGATAGATGATATAGATAGACTCTATAGAGAGAGAGTATATCTATATCTATAGATCTAGATCTAAGCATATATAGACTATATAGATATACTGTAGAGATATATAGAGATTATAGAGAGAGAGACTGGCTACTACCCTATCAGCTCATGAAATGTGCTGTCTGCCAGGAGTACAGAAGGGACATAATTTCCAAGACTTGCAAGTCCAATGATGATAAACCCTTCCTGCCTATACAAATGAGACTGCAGTGGCAATTGTGTCACGGTCACCTTTAAAGCTATGAGAAAAAAAGCTCAAGATGCTGGGGGTTCAAATGATTATTTGTTCCAGCTTCTAGCCCATGGAAGAATAATGAAAAGGGAAAGAATACTGCAAGTCAAAGACTGGCTACGTGAATCGTGTTGACAATAAGGGGCAAGTGAGGAAAAGCACTTAGGGAAATCATGAAGAGAATTTCAATAACAAAGATTCAGAATACGTTTTGCCTTATTATAATGTATAGCCATGAAAGTTAGATACAGTACTGTGAGTGAAGTGAGAATTATGGATTTGGAGATAGTTAGAAAGAGTACCATGGACTATAAGAAAATCAATCCTGGGCCAAGTAAAAGCTGGCTGCAGAAAGCAGAAATGCACATGGGCATGTGATGAGACCATATGCGGATGAGAGAAACTGCTATGCTTGTTAGAGTTTTTTAAAGAAGTACTGCAGTAAGGGAAGAAGACAGCATTGGGTAAATGCTATCAAGGACATAACTTGCAAGAACTACGGATAAAGTCACTGAAGATGGGCTGAGATGGCGGTAACATCACCAGGAGCCCGGCCCGAGTTGATGGCATTTAACTCGACAGACTCACGTCAAGGGCTACCAATCATTCGTCAGCAAAAGAAAGCAACCTGCTCGCCAGAGAAGCGATCCACCCACTCTTTTCCCAAGCTGCTTCTCACAGCCATCCACTTCATGGGTAGGGCAAGAAAGAAATCTCCAAACAGCTGAACGCCAGACGGACGAGACTAATCAGCACCGCCCACCCTCATGAATCCCGCCCCCGGGAAATGACTAGAAACGAGGCACGTGAGGGTCCCGTGATGGGTAATGACATAGATCCTTTTGCCTCTTTCTCATTGGAGCGCCGTGCAATCACGTGACTACAAACGGAGCGTCGCCTGCGGGAGGCGGTCATCCTCACTTTTTATTGGGTCAGAAAGAGACATAGGCGGAGCCATCTGGGGATATGTTTTCTCTGATTAGATAAAATGGCCGGTGGGAGCCAATCGTCTTTCGGGGATGAAGGCTTACCCATCTTTGCTGCTTTCTGTTTCACTGCTTCCGGTAACCAGAGCGCCTCCGAGGGTGAGCGTGGGTTGGGCCTCGCTGTTTCTCGACTTTTTCGCCAGGTACTGGTAACGGACGGCGAGGCTGGAAGTACCGTTTTGGAGCACGAAAAGCCACAGGGTTCCGTGAGAGATTCGGGGCTGTTACCCGAAGAACTCGTAGGATCCAGTATCGGCGACCGACGGGAGTCTTAACGTATCAAACAGCCCTCATGGACTGTTGCAGCCCCAGGTGAAGGAGTCGTTCCCCCTCCTGACTTTCTGCCTTGCAGAATGGACGGGCATTGTTGCACGTTTTCTGCTGACTTTGCAGGCGTTCCTTTCTGCTTGTTAGCATAGTTGTGAAACTTGCGCAATTATTTCTATCAGGGCCTTAGCGTTGAAATGAATCGCACGAGATGGCATACTAATGAATGTGCTTTGGAAATCAGGTTGGCCGCTTTGCGGGTTGGTACATAGCTTGCTTGTCGAGCTGGAGAAGGAGAAAGATGTAGCCAGGTACATGTCTGTCACGTGGAAAGTGGCCAGCCAGCAAGGAGGAAAGAGCTGGTATATAATCACTGTATTCTTATATGAAGAGGGCAGAAATCTCAGTAATGTTTACATAGTTGTCTGATTGCATTCAGTTAAAGGCTAAATAGACTCATCTTTTCATATAGTAGAAGACAGTTACACGTATTAATGCATGCCTCTCATTCTAAAAAAAAAAAAAGGTGCAACATGCCACCTCAAGTATTTGGAGGTGGTATTGCAGAGCCTTTAGCCATGAAGTGTTTCCTTCACACTATTGGTCATATTTTCCTACACTGTAAGCTAGACCAAGAACCGAGAACCTGCTCCTTCTTAGTCATGTCAGAGTTGAACACTTTCAAACATTATGGATTTCAACAAGAAACTGTTGCATATATTAAACTTTTCTCTTTAAGCAGAATTTGTACCTATAGGGAGAGATTTAAGCAGTAATACAATGAAAAATTTTTCAGATGCAATTAGACCTCTGTAATATCTTCTGCATGGGGTTATAACTATTTCCATTCTGAGCCATGTGACCAAACTGTCTGGGGGGTATCAGTCTTGCAAATACATTCTCAAGCATTGTTAGTGGACAAAACTTTGTATTAGTCCACTCATATTTGAAAATCCCAAGACAAGTTTTCAGCTGTTTTGGGTGAAGAGGATACATCTGGAATGTTGAGAGCCATCAGTGAGGTCTTTTCACAAAAGGATGACTGTGATGAGTGTATCCAACTGCATAACACCATTTTCCATAGGCAAACTGTTAATATTTATTTTTCTTACCACTAACCCGTCTCCCAGCTTTGCCTTTTTTTTTCTGCACAAGTACAGTCGATTGTAAATGGCTATGAGCAACATTTTTATTTTCTAAGAACGCCTATGGAACTATAAGTATTTTTATAAATAGGAATAGAAGCTGGCATTTTATTTGGAAGCCAGCTTTCATTTAATTTATTAAATAAAAGAATATTGCTTTAGGATAAAAGGAGTTGCTAAGTGCAGAGAACAGTGTCCATAGGTATATTAGTATCCATGGACATCAAAGTAGTTAGACTACACAAAAGGAATTAATGGTCCGAAGTCCCTGTATTTATTCTGAACGATCATCATATGAAAGATGAATGTAGCTAACCAATCCTTATTAGTTTTATCAAAGAGAGGAACTTAAAAGTGTGATTTCTAGTTTTGAGCATGACATTAAAATAAGTATGTTTTAATGTCATAATCCCAAATGTCTGTGGGTTAGAGGAATCATTTATTCAGAATTCTTTGTATGTATCATCAAAATAGTATCTGTTGCATAAGCCTTTCCAGCTTCTGAACGGTCTGCCTTTAGAGAAATTGCAGGATATAAGTTTTAAAGGCTTTGTACAGTGCAGTGATCTGTCAAATTATTTCATTTCTTCTCTATATGCCTTCCAGTAGTTCCAGTTTATTGCTTTCCTTGTCCAGAATAATTGCACGTTTACTGGGCTTCCAAAGATAGTAGTCACGGATTCCATCAGTAAAGTGGAAGGCAGATCAAAAAACATAGAAATGCCAGTAGAATGCTTGTAAAACATCCACCGTAAGAAAAAGATGGTGACTATGGTTATGATCCCAAATTGTGGCCAAACTTCTAATGCCAAACATGCCTACATTCCAGCATTCCCTGCTTCATCATACAGGAGATCTACAGAAGTTGTGCCCCAATAATGTACAGTAATAAGCCTCACTTTCAACGGATAAAATATAACTTGGATTACAACAACAAACAAATATAGGTGGTACAAGCAATTTGTATCTGCACCGCATCTCAGGACTACAGCTTTTTCCAGGATTCTTAGATTTTAACCCCTATTCAAGCCTATCACAACTCCACTTCAAAACAATAACTTTCTAGGTTCCCTACCACACTGGCCTAGCAAAGTGTCCAGCTGAGCAACCTTCTGGAATGGGCATTGCCTGATCTTTTCTCCTTTGGTATCCTGCAGAGGATGGTTGGAATGGATTTTATGAGAAAAGAGTCTAATTAAGCAGGCTTTCCTCTCCCCACTTTGCAGTTTGTAAGAAAGTATTAATGGACACTAAGGAAAGTATATATGGGCACCACATTGCTTACACATGTGTTACAAGGATAGCACTAGCATAGTTGAAATCTCCATTCCCTACATATAATTTCCATCTTTCTCAGAACCATCTCGTTGCAGATTGTTATTTTTATGAGACCAGTAATGCCCCACATTCTTCTGCTTATTCTTCTCTTAATTTGGAGTTATGAGGCCTGAGACAGTTTGCTGAATTCAGGATTTGTGTGTCCAGAGCATTAACAGACATATTAATAGTATTTTTGAAACCTATTTTCCTCACTTTCTGTAAACTGCTGTTTATAGAATGTTCCTGCCTCATGCTTTCTTCCATGCTATGGTATTAGCCATCATAATCACTGTGATGGCAGAAGAAAAGACATGTGATCTTCTTGGGGAACAGGGACAAGAATCCTCAAAAGAACTAGCATTGCTGAATAGACTGGAGCCACTTGTCAATCAAAGGTACAGTGCCAATAGGTTTCAGATCAAACAGGTAAATATGGTTGGTTTCATCTGGTAGGAAATATTGAACTTCTCTGAATGCCAGAAGTAGAAAGCACTGTAATGAGACAAGAAAACTTGCTGAATGTCAGAGTTAGCTAACTTGAACAGAGATCAATATAAGATTAGTATTTGCTCATAATTGCATTGAAGTTACTAAAACCTGCCTTTGAGAAACATTGCTTTTAGAAATCTATAACATCTCCATACCGGTATTCTATTCTTCATGAGGTTATTGAAAATAAAGGCTATCATGTCTTTAACCCTACTGATGCATTATATCTTCACATACTACACTAATTTTAATGCTTTCTCAGTACTTCCTCACTTCCCAGTTACAACATCTGAAAAAAAAATACTTAAAGGAAGTTTATGCAAGTACCACACTTTTTATATTTTAATATAGTTCAAGATTTCAAATGTTTCTCATTTGATCTAGCATAAGGGTTAATGCTCTGTTTGTAATGAAATTTGGAACACACTGTTAATTGTGTTCTGGCTATTAACTGTTCCTTCATTTGACAGGCAAGGATCAGATTAGGATTATCAGAAATATTCCAGGAAAATACTGTTAATTTTTCTACTGTTTTATTTTCCTATATTTGTGTAAATTCCCTATTTTTTGTAGTTTTGAAACAGAAAGCAAGAATGGTGATGGCCACTACATTTACAAATTCAGGATATGTCGAGAAGTCTTCAGCAATATGACCAATTCTGGCCTGGTGCAGATCAGTAAGACAGACAACAAACAAAAAGTAATAGGACGAATCAATGAGACCCATCTTGCAAATGGAAGTAAGACATAATTTTTGAACAGAACCATTGAATGTTCCTATAATTACACTCACGCCTCACCGAATCTCTTATATTTCCAATTTGGCAGCTAGGTGGATTATGCTGGTCTACCAGGGTGGTGATCCCTATGGTACCCATTGTACGCAAGAGGGCAGGAAAGCTTTAGTAATGATCATCTGCAACCGGACGATGTTAGCAGTGAGTATAAGAATGGGGTAGTAAAAAAAATGAATATGTTCAGAAAAATTAGTATATGACTAAAACTCAGCCCTTACCATATTACTTGCAGTATTGATTATATGTTACATAGTATCAGAACTTGAGACTGCTTAGAAAAAGGGAGAATACTGTATACAATATCACACGGAAGTTACATATCAAAATGTTTGAGCATGCTACAAGGTACATCATATGGGAGACTGTTAGAACATTTTGCCCTAACCTAGGGAAATGGAATCTGCAACCCTCTAGATAGTGCTGAACTACAGCTCTTTGTAGTCCCAGTCAGCATGCCACGTGTGTGAATCAGGCCACAATAGGATTATGAGAATTGTGAGGCACTCTGTTACGGTGTCTCACGGGAAGGGGAGGGGGCAGCTGAACTTTGCTTTATGTGCCATTAGACTCTTATCTTCTCCAAACAGACTGGTTTCACCATGGTGGCAGAAGAGAGGGAGAAGATAAAGCAATGTTCCTATGTTTTTGAGTTAGAGAGCAGCTTGGCTTGCCCTCCAGAAGACTTGCACCAAAATGTACACCCTCACCTCAGTATTGGCTCTATACTGCTAATCACGTAAGTTGATTTAAAATATTTAACAATTCCCTTCTGAGTTAAACACCTTCCGGGGCAGCTTACAATAATAATTTTAAGGGGGAAAAACACTCAGAATCAGACATAGCAACTTGGTATGATAAAGCTAATTAAATATACATTTTAGTAATGTCAGATTACTAAAGGCAGATGTGAGATTTTACATAAATGATTCTGATCCATTAGGTTATTCCCATTCAAGAAAGACTTGTAATTTAATGGTGATTCTTAAAATATCCCCACGTATAATTCATTGTCTAATCTGGATATTACCACTCTATTGGTGTTGTAAATGGATATTGTTATCAATAGCCAAAGTACTGCTGTGCAGGATGGCATCTAATATAAGGCAATTAAAAAGGCTGTTAACCTTAATTTTAAAGCATGGAAAGGAATTTGCTGGAGAGTGTCTATGTGTTTAGAGGGATTGCAAATCTCGATTGAAAGAGTTACAGTTTAAAGTGGGAGTGCATCCCTGTCTAAAATAGATTAAGTACTATCACCCATCACTAAAAATTGTTTTTGTCATTATGAAACCTAACTCTGTTCTAATCTGTGATTGACTTCAGGTGCACAATTCAGCATATTTGTTGCCTCATCTGAATATGGTAGAAGTACAGGTAGTCTTCTGGTTACAGCCATTCATTCAGAGACTGTTCAAAGTTACAAAGGCACTGAAGAAATGGACTTAAGACCAGTCCTCAAAGTTGTGGCTGTCGCAGCATCACCAGAGTCACATGATCAAAATGTGGGTGCTTGGCAACCAGCCTGGATTTACAACTCTGGCAGTGTACCATGGTCACATTCTCCTGTCCTGCGCAAACTGCCTCTGCTTCAACTCCCTACACCTGCCTATCTCCCCCCCGCCCAATCTCTGCCCTTTTGGCCACACTGCACAGCATGGCTGAGATGAAGATGCTTCTGTATTCCACCACTGCCACCCCCGCGCCACTCCCAGCTGACTCTCTTCTTTGCCTTGCCACCCCTCCACAGTGGGCTAAGACTCACTAAAAGCCTGGTGGCCGGGAGGTGGTGGCGGCAAGCATGCATGCATGACCCCTGGCTGGAAGCGGGCTGAGAATGCTGAAATGGGGCTGGCCACTTGGCTGGGGAAGTGGAGATGAGCCCAGCAGATGGGAGGCAAGGTGAAGAAGACAATGAAGGTCAACCAGGGGGGTCAGCAGCAGCGGAATACAGCAGCATCTTCATCTCAGCCATGCTGTGCAGGGTGGCCAAAAGGGCACAGATGGGGGAGATAGGTGGGTGGGTGCTACAGCACAGTGCAAGTGCAAGCAGTGCTATGGCCCAGGGCATTCTTGGGAGTAAAAGCGGCAGGAGCAACTTACCAGAGCGACTTGCAACCTCTTGCTGTCTTCCCCATTGACTTTGCTTGTAGGAAGCTAGCGGGAAAGGTCACAAATGGCAATCACGTGATTGCGGGACACTGCAACTATCATAAGTGCAAGCCAGTTGCCAAGTACCCGAATCACAATCACATGACTGTGAGGATGCTGCGACAGCTGCAACTTCAAGGACTGGTCGTATGTCCCCCTTGTTCAATGCTGTCATAACTTTGAAGAGCTGCTGAATGAGTGGTCATAACCCAAGGACTACCTGTAGTAGTAAATACCTTGTAATTGACATTCAGTAAAGATACTGGTCTTATATGACTAGGATTTTTTCAAATCATTCCTTTCTTTGTGTAAACATATATGCCTCTTCCCAAGTCGTTGGTATTGTTTTTGTTGTTTGAATTTCATTTATTGTCTTCAACAGTGGTTCTGCTAGTTCCTCTCTTAGCTTTTTATAATAGAGTTGTCAGCCCATCTGGGCCTGGTGGTTTACTAAATTTAATTTAATTTATTACTTCTTCAGTTGTTACTAATTTGCTTAAGATTTGTGGGGTTTTTTTAATATACTTTTCATTAAGAATTTTAATTACAATAGTAAAAACTACTACAAACTAAACTTAGAGAAAGAGAATGGAAAGAAAGAATAAAAAGTGCAGGAAAAAAGAAAAAGAAGAAAAAGAGAAGAATATAATAAAGAAATGTATAAAGAAGTGACTTCCAACCTCCTTCACAACAAGCATAAACAAATTTAGTAGCTCTCCACCCCCTATAAGGTTACAAAAAATATCTCTTCATTGCATACCCCATCCCTTATTTATAGATAAATCTATAAAGCATCAATTTTTCAGTCCAGATATCAGCAAAAAGTCCATAAAGGGTTGCCAGCTTTGTAACAACATATCTTATTTTAACCTTGAGCAAATAAATCAACTTTATATTCCTTCCTTTTACTTCTAACAGACTTAATATTTAATTTATTCAAATACTGTTGTAGGATTTGATTTCTCTCCAATTCTTCTTTGTCCTATCGCACAAATGTCTTCAAGGCTTTAACAAGCCTCTTTTGTAAATTCAATAAGAAAAAATCATCCAGGTCACTCTCTTGGCTTGTCATTTGTATTTCCCTTTTGATTTTTAAAATCTCAGCCAGTTTCATTTGTATATCCAGTAAGGCATCCTTTTCCAAGTCATTTTCTTGGTCTTTTGTTTGTAAATTGACTTTCAGTGCCATCTCTATCTTGTCAGACAAAATTTGTTCCACATTTGTCATTTCTTCAATAATATATTTTGGACATAGTCTATCTACTGATGATATTGTGGCTACTAATTTCTGGTTCTATTCTTCAGAAGTCTCCTTTAATATTTTTAAAATTACAGCGTTTTGCATCATTTTGTAAGTCTCAGTAAATAAAAGCAGGCTTGTATTTTTTTTCCTCTGCTTAGGAACTTTAGTCCCCTCTAGTGACCAGTTTCTAAAATCATGAAATTACATATCTTTGTTATGTCTTGCAATAACCAAAACAAATCTGTTTCTTAAAAAAGAAGTTGTTTATATTATAATTATAATTAATTAGTAAAAGTCAATATTCCAAATTTATTTGGACCCTTAATCTGCTCATAACTTTCTTAGATCAAAATCTTGTTTAGCTTTTTGCTGTTTATTTCAAATTCTTTAAGTTTTTAAGCTTATAATTAATTTTTCTTTGTTCAGAGTTGAAGATAAACTCATCCGATGAAGACCTTTCAAACTTGTTATTCTGAAGGTCTCTAATAGCTTTAAGATGGTTAATAGGAAATTTCCAAAAGTGATTATAAAGTGAGGTTTGCTAATTTAGTGTCCTTTAAAAGGCTCCGCCATGGTTGTTAGCAAGATGGTTGATCCTGTTGTCTCCCGGCACTTAAATCCATGGAAAACTGCTGTCCTGTGGTCTCCTTGTGAAGAGCAGCCTTTCCAAGCACATGTGGGCAATCTCCTGTCCTCCCCTTATCCAGAGAGGTTTCAAGGAATCAGTCTACTCACAGGTTCCTTGATCTTTGATGTGGTCGTTGGCTCTGCTTTCACAGAGCCGTCTTCAGTTCGCCATATCTCCCCTGGAAGTCCAAGATTTATCTGTGTTCTTGAACAGATTCTTTCGGCTCTGAGATTTCAAATTCATGTGCCATTTTTTTGCCTGGAATATAATTCCTTAATATTTTTTTTGCAAGTTATCATCATTTCTTTCTCTTTATTGATTTGATATGAAGCCAAAAGTTTCCCTGGTTTGTTTGCAACTTCTTTTGAAGTTCTGCTGTTTCCAATAAGTCTAATTGTTGTTTAACTTTATTTAACTGTTTCAGTGCTTGTTGACTTGGAAAGGTTTTATGTATCTATTCTAACTCCTTTATTTTCCCTTGTAATCATGATTTCCATATTTTATGTTCTTTTTCCTGATTTGCTGCAAGCCTTATTAAGACTCCTCTCATATAAGCTTTACTTGTCTTTCATATAGTTGTTCTGACAATCCTGGAGTTGTATTTATTTTTTTAATTCTTCTTTGCATTTCATTTTTAAGTAAGATAATTTCATTCATGGTGGTTATGCAAAAAGACTCAAAAGTACTGGAAAAAAATACACTAAAACATTCAGAAAATTCTGAAAATAAAATTCAACTTAAAAGCACAGACATTTTTATTAGGATCCCAGAGAATATAAATGATAAACATCACAATTTATTAAGATACGTGCTAACAGTGGCAAGAATCAATTTGGTACAATATTGGAAACCTTGCTGTCAATACAGGATTGGGAAACTAAATTTTTTTAAATAATAATTTTATTAGAGTTTACAAGTATAAAGATAAAAGACTAATACAAACTAAAGAAAATATAAAAAGTAAAGAAAAAGAGATACAGAGGATGATTTGATATGGAGGATGCTTTCTCATAACATCTGACTATAATGCAGTTGAAAGGTACCTGCCTGCAATTCTTTACTGCAGCAACTTTTTTTTTTTTTTTGGTTTGGAATGCAGAGTTGTTTAGAAGGAGCTATTTTAACAATTTACAGACAGATACTACATTCGTACCCTGTGTATCTGAAGTGACTTTTTGAAAACAAATTTGAAGAATTGCATAGCCCTAATATGCAGTCATCTTGTATGGATGTGTGTGTATTTTATTTTATATTATGTTATATTCTATATGCGAATCTTTTGTTGGTGTACTTTGACTTTCTTTTCTCTTCCAGGTTTTCTTCACTGATTGCAATATACATCATTGGGGGATTCCTCTACCAGCGTCTGGTAGTAGGAGCAAAGGGCATGGAGCAGTTTCCTCATTTTGCTTTCTGGCAAGATCTCGGCAATCTAGTAGCTGTAAGTATATTTTAGGTTATACAGGTAGTTCTCAGTTAACAACAGTAATTGTGACTGGAATTTCCATCGCTAAGCAATGCAGACTTAAAGCATGATGTCACATGACCATACCGCTTAGTGACAACAGTTCTGACAGTCCCCAGTTACTGTTGTTAAGTGAGGACAGCAGGTTGTTAAGCGAAGGCCCCATGTGACTGCTACTTCCTTCCAGCTTCCCCATTGACTTTGGTTGTGGGAAGCCAGCAGGGAAGGCTGCAAATTGCAGTTATGATCACGTGACCATGGGGGCACTGTGCCAGCTGGAACTTTGAGGATCGGTCATAAGTGCCACTCGTTCAGTGCTGTCACAGGTTTGATTGGTCACTGAACAAGTGGTAATTGTAATTGTTCTAAGTCATAACATGATTTGTTTCTTGGTAGCAAGGAGTCTGTTAATAAAGCAGTTTATTTTTAAGCTGTGAACCATACTTTGAAAGAATAGTTTGTAACTGGCTTACTGATCACAATTGTGCTATAGAGTATATGAATGGAGATGGAAATTTAAGTTTCCTTGCTTATTACAGCTATATTTTTGTGTGTCAAATCTAGTCTCTTACCAATCTTCAGACAAGGCAAGTGTAGTCTGAAAAAAGCAAACCAGCAGTTGGCTAAGCAGACCATAGTTACATAGTTCATTTACAGGAATAAGTGGCTTGCTCAACATATGGTTAAAATAAACTGGCTATGATATGAGAATAGAGTCTAGTCTATACTGTAACACTTTCAAAATTTTCTCATGTAATATCTCATACAGTGGCATGAATATTTGGAAGCGCCATGGGAAATAGTTACGTTCACACATGGTGATAAAATGTTACTTTACAGTAACATTCTTCTAGAGATCATCTGTGAATACATTCACAGATTATGTGTCTGGATGGAAACCTTTTAGAATCCTCTAGAGTTAAAGAAATAATTGCAGAAGTCCTCATATACCTCCTGCTGGACATACTGAGTTACTGAAACTCAGTTGCTGACCCAAGAAAAAACATTGACACTAATCAGGATAAAAGGGTGGGTGGTGTGAATTCACACTTGGCACTAGTAGAATCTTAATTACAGGTAAGTAACAATTTTATCGTGCTCTCTGATTTACTCAGGTCATTACTAGCTTATTAGAGGAAGGTCTATTTGTCATAAGGTGAACAAAGAAAGGGCTGTTCATCCAAGGCTGCATCAATCTGAGAACAGAGGTCCAGACAAAGTCCTGGTATAACTCTGGTAGAAATATTCTATGAAGGAAGACTGCAGATGTAGCTGTTGTCATGTAGAATGAGTCCTCTACAGTTGTTGCTAGAAAGTGATCCCTGTGCTCAAGTTCTACTTCAATATTTGGAATGTACCTGGTTCCATGGCTTATTGAATAATTATTCCTAGATCCTTACAGTATTGTGAAATCATAGGTCATCAATCTTTTAGGGTGTTTGGTGCCCCAACCCAAACATTAACATGTACCAAGACCAAACAAGCTACATTATGGTTTAGTATGATGTACAAACCCAGGAACTGGCAACTGGAGAAATTGGATTGTGGTAAAAATGAGTCTTGGGCAGTAAATATGCCAGTGAAGTTTTCTTTGAATCAATTTCTAAATATTATCTTACTACGTTTCCGCCATAAGTCATTGACACTTAGACAATTAATATCCAATATTTAGTAAGAGTCAGGCATATTTGTCACTTTAGGATTGAGTTGTTGTTCACCCCATATTAAACAAAACCAAAATGAAGTAGTTGGAGAAATAAAACTTTGTGTCAGTTGGAGAAGAGGTTTAATGTTACAGTTCTTTGATCTGACTTGAGTTCATTAATCTGTTTGCAGGATGGCTGTGATTTTGTGTGCCGATCTAAACCACAAAATGCACCAGCTGCATATCGTGGTGTTGGTGATGACCAGCTTGGAGAGGAATCAGAAGAACAAGATGACCACTTGCTGCCCATGTGATCTGCATCTTTTCTTTCTGTATGGTTCTTACGCTAGTGACATCCAGTCACTTTTCCTTCATCTAATTGTCCTTTTAAGCGGCTTGCTTTCACCTTAATTACCCCATTCTTCTGCACACCATTTTTCATCCTTTCTGATGCAAATAAATTCTGTGCAAAGTATATGAACACAAAGCTGTACTAGGGAGCTTTGGACTAGTGACTGCTCAGAACCATTTTCCAAAAGGGAAGAAATGTGTGGCAGTATGACTATGCACAGAAAATGTGTGTCCGTGGAAGAGGAAAGGGTTTGTCTGCAGGGGAGTAATACTAATAGGATTTGAGCTACAGTGACTGAATGTACTTGCATATTTTCTACAGGCTTTATTCTACAAAAACACTGGATTTTGATTTTCAATTATGCAGTTGTACAATTTTTTCATAACTCAGTGAAGCCTTTCCTAGCATTTTCAAATCCTCTGGAGGCACAGTAGACCAAATGGAAAAACCTATATTTTCTTAAGAAAGGAGAATAGCCCTGCATCAAATTAGGCTTTTTTTTTTTTTGTCAGCAAAAAAGGATGCTACCAGCAACATATTTAAATGGTCTAAATTTAAATGGCAGTAGAGATTTTAGAAGAGTTAATGATAAAATCTTTCTTAAAAGAGCAGACTATAACAGTAGTTACTTCATTTTGTTTAAATGTCTTTCATCTTTCATTACAAATACGACAGTGCCTGCAGCTGCAAATTATATAAAATACAGAGCCCAACGATGGATAGGATTTTTAACCAAAAAAGGCAGGATAGAAAACCCCAAAATCTGTATTGAAAATGTTTTTCTGATTCTTTTCAACCTATTTTAGTGTTCTGGACTAAATATTTTTAAAACCGGTGAATGTTTATGCTTATAGTTGTGTTTACACAGTATGAATTTAATGGAAATGACAAATCTGATCTGTTCCTATATATACTTTTTAAAAAAAGGATAGGACATGGCAGGTCTGTTGCTTCAGGGAATTGCTTCTATTTCTTTGGTGCATGTTGTACTGTTTCCTAATGAAGATTCTTAGAATTGCATTTAAAATGCAATTAGGACTCCTGAATTCACTTGAACTTGCTGGGAATACCAGCTCTTTGTGAGGGGAAATAAATACATCTTTACTTGGTATCTTCCTAAAGGAACTGGTGGATCTAACTGGGAGTAAATCTCCAGGTGCATCTATAGGCTACATGTATTCTTATTCCCTTTAGGAATAGGTACTGTAGCTGAGATGAGACTTGAGACACGGTATTAGCCCTCTTTGTCAGGCTCTTTTATAAGAGAAAAAAAATGGGCCATTACATCTGTCATTCTTTTCATAGTAATGTTTAAACGATTTTGTACAAAAGAGGGGCAACTTTAAAATTAAAATGACTTGAAATTTCAAAATACGCGTGTGCTTAAATTTTTGAAAACAGTTCGCGAATGACAGAGCTGGAAACAAAGTCATGATCTCAATGTAGTTCTGTGCTATCTTTTCTTTGGAAGATATTTACACATCCTACATGCCTAAATCAAATGAAAAGAGCAAGGTTCAATGGCAGAGCAAACTTCAGCTTAATTCAGGAAACACGGCTGGAATGGATCTGATTATAGGTATAAGCGAAGTCTAGAAGGTGAAGCTAAAAGGTATCATATACGTTTTCATTTGTAGAAAGCTGAAATAATTTGGATCATACTATACATGAATATAAAAAAATAACTTACTGATAGAACTGCGTTCAACAAAATGTTTGTGTTGACACTGAACTCTTTTTTTTAGTCTAAGGTGAGCTTTGGTTTTTAGAGGATACTAACATTTCTACAAGGAAATAGAAATGTTTCAATTTTCTGAAAGTTGAATTCATCTTAAGCTGCCTTATACTCATTTAGTATGTTACTATAAATTAAGATAAAGTTACAGATTCTAGTAATATTCCATACTAAAAATCACCTCTAAAAAATATGAACAAAATAATAAGCAAAGAATATTTCCCTATTTGTTTACTGCAAGTCCTTCTCAGGTTAATTACATTGGTTTAAAAAATATGTGTTAAAATATAAATAGAAGGGAAGGGAAGCAGTGGGAAAAAATTTACCAAAAGCCCTGGCTATCCTAAGTCTATTCTTGAGACAATGATATTTTGAAAGGCTTATTCAAATCAGACATACAGCCACTGATTTTACCTTTACAAGCTTGTTTCAAATATATTGGCGGAACACTGAAAATACATGCTATTCTAAATTGTTAGAATAAGAATGTTGAAGAGGTGTAGATTTCAGAGTAGGCATCTAAATTAAAAGACATTTTAAAGATTTTGTGTCGATATACACTTTGCTTTCATAAATAGATAGAAAATCATTTCTAAAACTTAAATTGAGGAAGCAATAACAAAGCTTGTGATAATTCAAACAAGCTGCAAACCTGATTGTGCAGAAGTTGGTGGGGAGAAAAATCAGACAACAGGAAGATAGCAATGTAGTTTTTGAAGCATTCCTTTTACTGAATAAGATATTTGCTTAATAAACAAAAATAAACAGGCTTTGGACAGAAGATACAAACCTGATAGCAGAAAGTTGTCCCATATGATCTCATAAGGGAAGGGCAAGATACAAAACCAAAGAAGACAAATTTTTAAAAGCAGGATGGAACACCTAGAGCTTCAACAGAGTTGGATTCTCCTTTGGCTCTTGAATAATTTTTCTCCAAACAAGAGACACAACTGGAATTAAAAATCTTTAAATCCTCTGATGCTATTATCAGAGGTGATGTCTTCTAGAGAGTCCCATTAGACATGGGCCAGCTCCAGTCTTTAATGTTCAATTAACTTTCCCTCCAGTATTCTGTATGAAGTCAGTTTACTACTTACCTTCAATCAACACTTTGATTAGGAAAGATGTCATTTAAAACTTAGTTCTTTACTGTTCCGAACAGAACCCTTTAGCAAGAGAAAAGATTCAGCACCAACTGGTCCCCTGAAAATGAAACCATGTAGAAAGAAAGAAAGATTCTACAGGGAGAAAAATGTGAGAATCCAGCAACTTAACAGGAAGGACCCACAGCAGCTGCAGCACAGAACTTTTCTCTTATTTGCCTTTTTCCCTCAGGAACAATTCATAACAGAGCAGACAATATTATATGCTCTTGAAGAGATGTTTCAAGGCCTCCAAGGGAGTTATTCCTCCCCTAAGTAGCACCAAGATACAGACTATGAGAGAACAATTTTCTTCCATTTAGTGTATTCATTCCAGCTAGGAAAGCAAAGAATTCTGCATTCCAGGGTTAGGTCTCTTTGAGAATGTTGATTTTGGCACAGATTTTGAGAGCTGGACCCAGCTTGATATTCATGGCACTCATGAGATGTTCTTCCTTTAGCAGGAGCAGGGCCTGGCCATCTATCTCCTGGGAGCGAAATTCCTCTGCAATCTCCTGACAGCCTAATAGATTCAAGTAGTAGAGAAAATTCTGTGAGAAGCAGAAACAATATACATCCACTCAGACCCACTCTTTAATAGTATTTTTAGTAACTCACTATTTATAAGAATCACTGAATACTTAGCAGTTACATGGTACTTTTATGTTCAAATACCATTTAAAAAGACTTGAGTCTTCAATGTTGTAGTTTTCTTGGCAAAAATGGGGAAATGGTTTCCCATTGGTGCCTTCTGGGAGTGGGTGTGTTTGTTTTTTTTAACTTCCCAGTCTAGTCTACTACCCTGGGATTTGTTATTCGCCCATCCAGGTCTGATCCTGTTTAGCTTTTAACTTCCCTTTGCCCAGCTCCCACATTTTTTGGGGGGAGAGGGGGAGGTTTAGGAGTTTGCTGAATGTGATGTTGAACCTAGGAAGGAGGCAGGACCAAAGCATAAAGCCCCAGTCTCTCTCACAACATAGGAGAATGTCAGTTACTATTTCAAATCTACAAACACCTTATTCATGTCAATATTCAGCTGTCCAATATACAGCTATTTACCCCATACCTTCTCATCAGGGCATGGGAGAGAAACTTGCCTTGTAGGGATGCAATGAACTCATATACTTCCTCTACACTCCAGCGGCTGGGATTGCTGGACAGGAAAACTGGATTGATGCCATGCAAGTCAGGGGTAGGCTGAGTCATGCTGGAATTGACAAGGTCTCGTTCTCCATGACTAGATCTCACTGAAAGAGGTCCTGGTGATGTGGGAGACAGTGCTTCATCATAACTAGAATTATCAGATCCTCTGCTTGAATCTTCTTGGCCCTGCAAATCCCAAGCATCATAAAACAGAGCATGAGAAGAAAAAACTGTATAAGAAGGAAAGAAAAAATTATTGTAAAAACTCAGAAGTAAAAAAGGTAGCCAGATTGGGCCATTAAATATAAATATAAAATTTCACCACACTGACAATATCGTTATTGGGATGAACCAAAATATAGATCATTGGTATCTCTGACAGCCATAGTAAGAATAAACAAGATACAGATGGAAAATTCCATTCTCCTTGGAGGTCTTCCTTGGTACAAAAAGGGTAACCATAAAGACAATTTCAGAAGCCCCCTCTTTGCTTAAAGAATTAACTGCCCAGGACCTTTTGGATAAGGAATGTTCCACAGCCAAAGAAGACATGACAGATGAAGAAGGGAAGTCAGATATAGCAGCAGCATTCAATTAAAATAAAAATGGAGACAACATTGATAAACTCAACAACCAAATGGAAATGGATTTTCAAAAAATTTAAAGAATGCTATTGTTTGTTTAGAGGAACCATGGATAGAGATAGGTCATGCCTATTAGGACAAGAATATTTAGCTGCAGGACAGTCAAAAGACTAAGAAAAATGGAATTGCAATTTCTTTTTTAAATCAGCAGCTCGGGAAGTGATGGACCAGTTTAAAGACAAAGCGGGAAGAATCTTGATCCTGAAACTTAGAAAAGAAGGCAAAATTGTAACATTAGCCTCCATTTATGCTAACAAAAACAAAGAACAATTTTACAAAAGATTTTTCCATATGCTAATAGAAGTAGAGGAGGGAGAAATATTGGTTATGGAGACATGAATGGAATATTACATTTGAATTTCGATCAATCATCCCAAGGGAAGAAAAGGAAGCTTCCGCAAAAAGTCACTATATGGATGAATTGGCACCAACAGACACATGGTGGCTACAAAATCCAAAAGGGAGAAATTATACTTTTTTTGGCAAGACACAAGGCCCTAACACATCTATTAAAGAAGTACAGATTCTTCCTATGACATATGCTGATCACAATCTAATTTTAATACCATGGTATCTTGGAGAAAAGTTATCCTTTGGATAGAAGAGGAATGACAGTTGTTACTTCAGGAAAGCATGCTACAGAAATGCAAAGCAGATTTTTTTTCCAAAAAGAACAGCAGGAATTTCAAAGTCAACCATTTGGGAAACAAAGCCGATATGTGAGGGCTTGTTATAAAACTTGTGGCAAAACAGAATATAAATATTAACATTCAGAATTTTGTAATAATTTACAAATTTTAACTGGGGCTTCTGGCTTTAAGTTAATTAGACATATTGGGTACAACCCCATAAGCTCTAACTCTGTATGCTATGAGAATCATGGTCCAAAACATTTGGAAGATGCCAGGTTGCTTACTTCTGCTCTAAGGAAAGAATGGATAACCCACAGACCATCTCCAAGTTGACCCTCTGTTCGGTAGCCCTGAGAGTCAGTGGAATTAGATCACTGAGATTTAGCAGTTGCTCCTTTCACTCTGTCAGCTTAGACCTTAGATGAAGTGGATTATCTAGACCCTTTTCAGTCTGGGTTTAGGCCAGGGTACAGTACTGAGATGGCTTTGGTCACACTTGCTGATGACCTAAGGAGGGCTCAGGACAGGGGTGATGCAACAGTCCTGGCTCTCCTGGATCTGTCAGTGGCTTTCAATACCATCAACCATGGTATCCTTCTGGACTGGCTTCGGGGGTTGGGAGTGGGAAGCACTGTTTTGCAGTGGTTCTCCTTTCTCCACAGCTGGTTCCAGTTGGTGTGGGGGGGGAGAGGTAGAGCCCTAGGCCCAGCAGTGTGGGGTGTCTCAGGGCTTGGCTCTCACCTCTCCTCTTTAACATCTACATGAAACTGCTGGGCAAGGTCATTTGATGGCACAAGGTGCAGTATCATCAGTGCACTGATGATACACAGATATACATCTGAACTTCTGGGCAGGCAGGTGATCCTGTTGCAGTGCTGACGCAGTGCCTGGAGGCTGTGAGGGTCTGGATGGGAAAGAACCGACTTTGACTCAATCCTGGCAAGTTGGAGTGACTTTGGGTTTTTGTCCACCCCCCACCCCCCGGGTCTGGTGATATGTCTGCTTTGACTCTGGACTGGGTTGCACTTCCTAGGACTGAACTGGTGCTCAATTTGGGGGTCCTCTTGGACTCACAG